AGTAGGATTCCTCTGCTGGCCACTGGATTTGAACCGGCAGCCTTCCAGCCACAGGCGCAGATCCTTAGCCACCGAGCCACAGAGCCACCGCTCTGCCTGTCATCAGCGTGCTTTGGCTGCTGAGGAACAAGTAAATGTTAATTTCCTGCAGAAAAAGTAGAAAGAACAAACACATTAAGTTGGCAGTTTGAACCCTATTCAGCTCTGAGTGAAAGTAAGTGAGTGGGTGAGAGTAAGGTGGCAGGAATATAAAGTAAAGGAGAACAAAGAACACAGAAGATAAGAATGGGCACAGGTGCAGACTCTAATGGCAGGTGCACCAAAGAGTTGTACAGAGTTCCTAAACACCTCTGTGCATCCTGGTGTTGTGGTCTGAGCCCCACGCAGTGGTACAGTAGCACTGGTGGCCCACTGGAATTGTGCTGAGTGTACATCACTTGAGATCCAGTGAGCAGCTCAACCCAGTGGACTAATAGGAAGGGATTTCACATTTTAGGAAGAAGACAGGCTGGGTGGGGTGAGCCAGCTCTCCCACGGATCACTGCAGATAATAAGTGGTCAGGGCCTTATAGGTTTAAGAAGGGTCAGATGTTGCTGAGGGGACAGGAGATCATTAGGAAAAGTGAGTGCTTTCAGCTGGTATCATCCTTACAGACTGTGCCTGCAACTGTAAGTGTCAGCAGGACTGTCCAAGGAGGTATGACTAATGTTGTTGGGGGTAAAGACACAGCACCCATCCACCCCTGAATTCCAACTCGAATATAGAATTCTGAGGATAGGATAGGTCTGGGCCTGTGAGTACTCCAGTCCATCAGTCAGACCAGGAGAGCAGAGATGAGCAATGCACTGCTGAGGAGGGGAATGGTGAGTAGTGCTGACAGGTGGGGGTGTATTGGTCAGGGGCAAAGGCCAACAACCCCAGGAGCACTGCGGGAGAAGCAACAGGCTGAGACTCAGAGGCCAGTGTAGGAAGATAATGGTGAGTGTCAGTGACTGCAATGGTTGTGGTCATCAGTCCCCTTAATGACAAAGACCTCAACGAGTACTGCTGAGTTTTGCTTTGGACTTTTCGGAATTGGAAAGGACATCGGCCTGCGCCGGTCCAGAGGGCATGTTTTGGTTTCAGGCGCAGGTTCTGATGGAAAGTCTTTCTGGGAGTAAGGAGTCTGGTTTCTGCATCAGGACTGAGAGGTTATGAAGTTGGTAAAAAAAACAAACATTAAAGATAAGATCACTTTATTGGCCATATAAAATTTCTTGCATTAGGAATTATCTTTTCACATTCCCCAGCTTGCTCTCCATGAGACACGCAGACAGGGAGAGAGAAGCCTGGAGTCAGAGAGCAGGGTCAGCCATTTACAGTGCCTTGCGAAAGTATTCGGCCCCCTTGAACTTTTCAACCTTTTGCCACATTTCAGGCTTCAAACATAAAGATATAAATTTTTTATTTTATGTGAAGAATCACCAACAAGTGGGACACAATTGTGAAGTGGAACGAAATCTATTGGATTTTTGAAACTTTTTTAACTAATAAAAAAATGAAAAGTGGGGCGTGCAAAATTATTCGGCCCCTTTACTTTCAGTGCAGCAAACTCACTCCAGAAGTTCAGCGAGGATCTCTGAATGATCCAATGTTGTCCTAAATGACTGATGGTGATAAATAGAATCCACCTGTGTGTAATCAAGTCTCTGTATAAATGCACCTGCTCTGTGATAGTCTCAAGGTTCTGTTGAAAGTGCAGAGAGCATCATGAAGACCAAGGAACACACCAGGCAGGTCCGTAATACTGTTGTGGAGAAGTTTAAAGCCGGATTTGGATACAAAAAGATTTCCCAAGCTTCAAACATCCCAAGGAGCACTGTGCAAGCGATCATCTTGAAATGGAAGGAGTATCAGACCACTGCAAATCTACCAAGACCTGGCCGTCCCTCTAAACTTTCAGCTCAGACAAGGAGAAGACTGATCAGAGATGCAGCCAAGAGGCCCATGATCACTCTGGATGAACTGCAGAGAACTACAGCTGAGGTGGGAGAGTCTGTCCATAGGACAACAATCAGTCTTACACTGCACAAATCTGGCCTTTATGGAAGAGTGGCAAGAAGAAAGCCATTTCTCAAAGATATCCATAAAAAGTCTCGTCTAAAGTTTGCCACAAGCCACCTGGGAGACACCCCAAACATGTGGAAGAAGGTGCTCTGGTCAGATGAAACCAAAATCGAACTTTTTGGCCACAATGCAAAACGATATGTTTGGCATAAAAGCAACACAGCTCATCACCCTCAACACACCATCCCCACTGTCAAACATGGTGGTGGCAGCATCATGGTTTGGGCCTGCTTTTCTTCAGCAGGGACAGGGAAGATGGTTAAAATTGAGGGGAAGATGGATGCAGCCAAATACAGGACCATTCTGGATGAAAACCTGTTGGAGTCTGCAAAAGACCTGAAACTGGGACGGAGATTTATCTTCCAACAAGACAATGATCCCAAACATACAGCAAAATCTACAAAGGAATGGTTCACAAATAAACGTATCCAGGTGTTTGAATGGCCAAGTCAAAGTCCAGACCTGAATCCAATCGAGAATCTGTGGAAAGAGCTGAAAACTGCTGTTCACAAACGCTCTCCATCCAACCTCACTGAGCTCGAGCTGTTTTGCAAGGAAGAATGGGCAAGAATTTCAGTCTCTCGATGTGCAAAACTGATAGAGACATACCCCAAGCGACTTGCAGCTGTAATCGCAGCAAAAGGTGGCTCTACAAAGTATTAACGCAAGGGGGACGAATAATTTTGCACGCCCCACTTTTCATTTTTTTATTAGTTAAAAAAGTTTCAAAAATCCAATAGATTTCGTTCCACTTCACAATTGTGTCCCACTTGTTGGTGATTCTTCACATAAAATAAAAAATTTATATCTTTATGTTTGAAGCCTGAAATGTGGCAAAAGGTTGAAAAGTTCAAGGGGGCCAAATACTTTCGCAAGGCACTGTATATGGCGCCCATGGAGCAGATTGGGTTAAGGGCCTTGCTCAGGGTCCAACGGAGTAGGATTCCTCTGTTGGCCGCAGGATTTGAATCGGCAACCTTCCAGCCACAGGGGCGGATCCTTAACGACAGTGCCACCGCCCTGCCCCCACTTAAACACATTTAAAGTGCTTGTGTGTATACTGTTTATATGACACATCTCAACATCTGTTACTACCATGTAAATACGTTCTATTTGCCTATAAGGGGAAAAAAAGAAATTTTGCTCTTTGTGGATTGCACTACCTTTTTCCTAAAATGTTTACAGGACTTGTACATGAAAATAATATTATGTACATAGGAAAACTGCTTTCTATCTTTAATGGGTTCTGTAAGCTGCTTAGAAGAGTAGGGTAGCCAGAATTGGCTGCAGTTCTGATAAGGGCAGTCTAACCGGTCCATAGCACCAAAAACACAAGCCGGTTGGTTTTCTAGTAAACAGCTCCCTTTGTTACACCTGTTCTGGTGAGGTGCTGCACCATGCTGTCAGTGCACAGAGCTTAGGACAGGGCTTGGTATGCAGCACCCTTGAGGTGGAGGGGAATATGAGTAGAGGGACTCCTGGTGGTCTGGTTGAGCAAGAGTGAATGAGGGGCTCTCCTGTGCAAGGGAAGGGCACTCACATACAATACATAAGGCTCCCACATTTGAGAAGTCTGGAGTAACTTCGATTTTTTTTCCCCAAAATAAAAGGGGGGAACGGACTGTACTCACAAGTACTCACTCATCAAGTTGCCCTCTCTCCAGCACCGGACTTCCTGTCAGTCAACTCACTCACAACTTCTTCTTCCATTTCATTTTGTCCCCTTGCCCCAGAATTGTATGGGTGTTTCAGATTCAGTCAGTAATGTGCTCCACGTCCTGAAGCATATGTATCAAATGTATTTCTCTATACAGTAATAATCAAGGTTCATGTCTATAGAACAAAACAGATCACTGAATTCTGTTCTTAAGTAAGCAAACATGTTCAGACTGACAGTAAGACAGTCTACTGACAATAAATCCCCCCAAGATGGCGCACAGGACAGCTACTTGTATTTGGGTTCTCGTCACCTCTTGCACACACAGGACAAGGGCAGAAGTACTCCAAGGACCGAATGACGTTTGCCCTCCGGGGTAACACACACTAACAGGGCGACGGACCAGCATAGGGGCTAATGAGTGATGCTATCTCACTCATAGCTTGCAGTAAAAGTACTCACAAAAGCGATTAGTCCCGGAGCACCAGGTCCAGTGGATTTGATGTTTTCTAGCAGTGAGCTCGTAGACGCTTTTACTAGAATAATGACGTGCGTTTGTGTACGTTTTGGCCCAACACACAGGAACAAGGTTTGAGTCCGTCAACGCTCTCACATGTTATTTTTATTTTTATTTAAATTACATATGTAAAATATAAACAGGAAGAAACGCAGCTGTGTGATATGTAGAATTAGGTCAAAGATGACTTTTCAATGTACTTTGTAGTTAATCATTCTTAGTCAAATCATTATTTTAATGAAATAATACGAGTACAACTAGTCAAATTCTTAGAATAAAAACACTTTACTGGAACATATGATAAAATATTTAATACATAGTAGCTTTTGTATTTAAATTTTATTTAATAAATACAGTATCTGTATTATTATTAGTATTATAAAACATTAATACAAACAAGTACTGTATTTATTAAATATAGTAGTTTGAAATATTGTTTGTAAATACAATGGCAATTCCAGCTTTGAACTGGAAAAGGCGTAGTGATTAAAGTTACGTTTTTTAGTTATGAACTGAAAACTGAAAAACTGGATTTTCAGCCTAATCTACTTGTAAACACTAACATCCACGTATCAAAGAAGCAGACTTAATTTTGCGAACATGCAAGTGAAGAAAACAGTTTCGTAATAACGAAGAAGTGTAGTTACCCCTTTAAACTAAGAGAGGGCGGTAAAGTATTAAAATGCGGTCTTTGCATTAAACCCCCTCAACACCACACACCTTGCTTAACAGTCAGGTAGACGTTTTTCTGATAGCTGGTCGCATACCGGTATTTCCAGATCGACTGATACTCGCTCCCCAGTTCCTGTCGAAGACTAAACTGAACACTGAGGTAGAGTTCAGAAAGTCACTAGAAAGAGGTGGTGTTGTGAATGACTCTTCACCAGGTAACAAGACCTGCATGTTTCTGTTTCTTGTTTAATTCTATTAAACTCGGAAGAAGATAAGCTGATATATTTTTATATCATTATATATATTTTTGACATATTTTTATATCATTGCTACAGCACTGAAAGCGTGCCGTAGGCAAAGAGGAATCGTTAATTGAAGCTGTTTGAGATGAAATGAGGTGCAAGCATGGTAGTCTTCTGTTTATCGTGATGCTGGCGAGTTTGCTATCTTTCTCCTGGTACACCAACAACATCAGGGGAACCGGTAAGGAGTTTTAATATTATACTCTTATCATTTATCGTCGTTTGAAAGATTAAAAAAGATATTTTGTTGTTAAGTACCCTGCAACGACTTCAGATGGGGCAGAATAAAATACGAAACGAGCTAAAACAGGAAATGAGGAATTATATTGTTCACATTTAACTATGTTTTGACATAATAGCAGTTCGGTTCCGTTGATACTGTATGTTTGTCTTTATTGTATTGTTAAAAACACAGTTCCCCATCAGAAGTCAGAAGATGCACACTTCTACAATAAGACAGTCTGTTTCTGTTCGGCAAAGTTTTGCAGCAAAAAAGGGGGGATTTAGGTCCCCCGAACGTCTTGTCTGTGTAGTCTGACAGGTAAAAGTGTTCCTGATGAAATTTCACTGTCGGTAGTTTCGTTTAAGAAGAGAGCTGCAGGAAAACGCAACTGCAAATTTAACTTCTCTCCCCTATACATTAATTTGGACTATTGGGGTGTTAGTTTTCCGAGGGTTTTGCCCCAGTAATTAAAATCGGCTCCAAAATATTACTCAGGTTAAACCAACTCGTGCTTAAGCCTCTGACCCTGCTGAACCGAGGCGAACCTGTGTCGCAGGTGCTACCGAGTTTGCAATGACACCAAAGCGAAACCTACAGCATCGAACAACCACGGCGAGTGAAGGGTATTTATTGAGTTCAGTCCAAGGCCAGCAAATGAATTTTCATCAGGAATACCTTTCCCTGCCAGGCTATAGTAAAAACAGGTCCGAGGATTTAACTGAACATGCTGTGGCAAACGTAATTTGACGTTTGCCACAGCAAACAGACGTAACCGCGTGTAATATCGGATTATGCTGATAGAGATATTTGAAAGAATAGTGTATACTACAGGAGAGAAGAACAATAAAATAGAGAATAGAAGAGAAGAGAATTTCAAGTAATGCTGGTCCCGTTTCGTTAAGCCTGCACTCAAGTTTAGTGCTTTCTGTTCTGTTTAATTTGCATACAAATTGACAAGTGCCGGTTAACCCTTAAGTTCTGGTTAACCTTTGATTCCTTTTTAAATACTGAAAGGCACCAAAATGTTGGAAAAATGATTCCAGTTAAAACGATCATTTTTATGGACTTAATATCAAATAGTTTTTGGTTTTCCCACTACTTACGAACTATTTTCAATGTACTTTTTAGAAATCCATTCTTATTACGTTGCATTTATTTCGTGGTATAGACCCTTTGGAGCCATGAGTTAACATGAAGTGAGATGTATTTTTAGACGAGTGGGAAGTCTCTTTTTGGTTTAGTACGGAGATGTGTCTGAATTCAGACGGGGTTAGGTGTACAATGACTTTTCCAACGTTAAATATGGTATTTGATCTGTATATTGAACGTCAATAGTTCTGTTAAAAGGTCACTAAAGTTTTATTGACCTAACAACCCCTTTTGACAGGGAGCCGGTCAGTATGCTCTCTTGTGAATTATAACTTAAATAAAGTCATGACTTGCATAACTTGTGTACTGTATGTCTAAGTACTTGATAACTGTACAGACTACGAGTCTCTTAGCACTTTTCCTAAATGTCTTTCAAGAAATTCATGAAGAATTATTTTCAATGTACATTTAACTTAGATCATTTTGACATGTGTTTTCAGCGTTTACATTTAAAGTTATATTCAGGACCCTTTTTCTTATTATATAATTTAATAACGTTTGCCCTGTCAAGACCTAACTCAGTTAGCTTTCATTAAAATAATGTGAATATCCTAATTATACTGTATATTCTGATATTGTGCTTCTCTTTTTAATTCTTTATCTGCATTGGGTGAAGAAATATTTGTAATTTGTTTAACCTGCATGCAACACGCTGCATGTTTCTCTGTCATCTGCTTGGTGTTTTTTCCAATCCTGCATGTTGCTTTGTCTTTGCTTTTTAGATTTCCTTTTCTCCTACAGTTTGCTGATTTAATTTTAATAGCACAGGAAAACATGACTACTGTTCTAAGTATACCAGATTATAAATAATTAATGCAAATTAGGAATTAATCCTAGTACAGATCCCTGTGGTACACCACTCATTACACCACCCTCTTGAGTTTTCATCCCTTATCTGTACTCTCTGCTTTCTATCCATTAATCAGTTCTTAATCTAAACACATGGAATAACATTGAATGCCAACTGCTTGCAATTTAAGAAGTGAAGAAGCCTTTTGAAAATATCAATATACCTGATATACTCAATATGTCATGTACTCTGCGTTCATTAGTGCAGTTGCATGTAGAAAGAACACAGACACCTGCCTTTTCTAAATCTACAGTATTTTGCCAAAACCCTTGAATTCTTTTGCAACACAGATTATTCTTTAGGTCCTTATTACTCTTTCTATAGCCTTAAATGTGACAGAATTAAGACATATCGGTGTGTTTCTTGTTCACATGATTTAATTTCTGTTACCCCTTTTATGGATGGGGCCTGCATTAGCAATATTCCAGTCAGTGGATATTGTCTCAACAAACGAGTGAAGGGTTTTGCTAATGGCTTTCTTAATGTATCAATTACAACTGGTAAGTACAATTGGTAGAATGCCATCGAGCCCTGGAGACTTGTTTAACCTCACAAGTGTTTCTAGTACCTGTAAAAGTTTGCTGATCCTATTTAAAAGAAACTCTTCTCTCTGCCCGAAGCACATTGTCAGTGTCTGCCTAATAACTCTGCCATTCTCCTGCCACATCAGCGTTTCCCATTATTAGCTCCAAGATGCTTCATCTTTTGCTTTTGACGGAGCTTTTTACAATTTTTTTCCAACCACGATAGCAGTATTCATTGTTAATGTCTCACTTGATTCATCTGATGTCCTTTTCTGCCTGTACAGGTTGGGCCTTAGGAGGTATTTGGTGTTGTGGTTTGACTCCATGTCTAACCACATGCACTCCACAGAGTAATGGTTGGACGAAGTGTAAAGCATCATGATTCTGAGCACGATCAATATGGAAGAGGTTAATAATAATGTTGTAATAATGCTATCAGATACTGATAATGAGATTTGCCATCTGACTGTGCTCAGACATTGTTTTGATTGATGAAAGTGTTTAGTGTTACTGTGTATGTTATTGTATTATTGGATTACAGCAAGATTACGCTCTATTTTGTTTATATGCAGTATTTGTATTAAGTCGCATTGTGTGTTACCACAATCTATCTCATTCTTTCAACAAATGATACATGATGAAAATCATGTTTGTTAAAAGTTTAGTTCTGATTACTCGTGTGATTGAATCTAAGGGTCATATCACAAAATTAACTGAAAACCTCTGATTTAATTCTTAAATCTTCTCATGGTCATCTTTAAGCATTTACCTAATGCCTATGAAATGGTGGCCCTCAGATTTAGTTTTTTAGATTGTTTATATGATACCCAAAAATACTTTTATTCTCTAGTGAAGATTATAATCATTTATGTCTAGGTTATGCCACGTGCATCCACATAAGTAGTATACAATAACATCATTAAATCGTAAACTAAAAATCACATTGTTAGCAAATGCTTTCGGAAAATGAAAACAAAGTAATGGGATTCAGGTCAATTTAGATTTTTAGGTCATCCAAGGATGACCTAAAAATACTTTCTAAGGTGTTGAGCTGTACATCATGGCTCAATTTTTATATAAATGAAGATTCAAAATTTAATAAATGAATTGGACTTTTTGCACTCTTTCTAATAATTTCCATGTTTCCCTCTTTCTCTCCAATTTCCCTTGTGAACTCATCAGTCCTGCTATGGTATAGATTTGCTGAATGTTTTTTTCTGATAGCTTAATTTGTGTACTGGCACCACAATTACAATTTTCTCAAGTTATTTCTGTACTGCTTTATCAGTTTTTAAGTGCTTTGGCCATGAAACAGTCATAGGGGTAATTTTGTCTTGCTCATCATTTTTAGACAGAGACCCGTTACATTGACGGAGCTTAATTGTATATCCCAGTTCATACCCAAGTCTGAGCCATACGCATCAGACTGGTTTTTATGTGGTAGCTAACTCAAAAAAGGAATAATGAAAGCCCTTTTGGCTGGAAAGCCTTTTTCAAATGTAATTTATGAAATGTATACAGAGGGCAAAGCATGCACATTTTGAACCTTGCCACCTTTTTAATTGCATTGCAAAACAAAAGCAATCATGTTTGACAAAGATAAATTAGCATTAGCCATATTGATAATGGTTATAGAAAATGGCTGGAATAATTTCACCCAGTGAAATATTCAGCTTAAATGTTTGGAGTTTTTGCTTTATCCCTTTTACTTAATTTGGCCAGCATATTATAAATTTATATTGCAATACAGAACTTCTAAATTTTAGGCAAAACCTTTTTGGCCTACTGTATTGCTTTGCTTCAAATGCAGTTATTTTACGGGAGTATAACAGTAGTAGGGGCTATGTCATTTTCCTGCCAGGATTTATCTCTTTTTTGTTTTTTCAAACTACATACAGTATAATGTAGCCTTTCTGGGAAAGGTAAACTTTATCTGCTGTATTTCTGTAGTAAATGCTGATGATCTCTTTTACTGGTTACCAGGGTTACATAAAGATCAATTAATTGTTCCTGAGAACTAGAGTGTAGCGTGAAATTCCATTCTGGAGGGTTGGACATTTTTTTTAGGAGTTGTCATGGAAATCAACTGATGGAGACTACTTACACAGGAAGAGTAAGGCTTGGTTAGTCTGCAAGTGACATATTATTAAAGAAGCATTGCAAGAAGAGTTTCTCAGAGTGCACTTTGTAGTGGCCACAAATATTGAAACAATTGTTCTCAGTATTTTCTAGAGAGATTCACATTACTAAATTAATGAAAACGAATTGAAAAATTAATTCTTTTTTGGACACCATTATTATTAATTAACTGTTATTGTCCTATTTACATACTTTAAATTTGGGTTAACTTTGATAGCAAAGGTGATGACTTCATTAAAGTCTCTAGTCTGATCCTATCAAAAACTTCAGATACATTTAGGAGTTAGATGAGATTGTTAGTAATGTTTATGGTGAGTCTTAGCAACATTGAAAGTGGGGTACGTTTCATTTTGACTGTGTTGTGTTGGGGACAAATTAAAAATACTTGAGATTTGGTTGCCTTGCATTTTTGTCTATAATTCAAAAGTTTACATTAATCTGCTGTATATGAAGGAGAGCATTATCAACCATCAAAAGAAAGTCGGGACCTGTGGACCTTGTTTCTCAGTTGAGTAGCACTAAAGTACAGCACTATAGGACTAAGGTCCTATCTGTAACCCAAGATGTAAGATTAGAGTCTGATAAGTTTTCAGTGGGTACGTTCTCAGTTGCTTCCTGGAATTGTTCAGTGGTGTAAGAAAGGGAATCATATACTGTAGTTAGAGAAGAGTCTGTGCCTCCATAGGTCTCTAAAGACAAGCTGAAATTACACTAAAAGCATTTTGATGCTGCCGACATAATCTAACACATCACAGCTGGTACAGCAAAAATATAAAAACACTGGTATAAAAGTAAAAGTTATAACTTTATATGTTTTGTATTTAATATACAGTATACACAAAACACAATATAATTTTGATGCTGCGACATCCATTTTTCTTTTTGACTTCCACCTTTTGAATTCAAATGTCAAAATGAATTTTCTGCATTTTAGTGATTTGCAGTCTGTCTTCAGTGTTTTACAATTTCCAATTCCTAGACTGATATGATGTTACATTTTAAAGGAAAAGCAAGAGCAATGTATTCAGTACATATAGCATAAATATACTGGAATACTTCACACAATGTTACTGCTTGTGTTGAGACTATTGGGGAAGCTAAAAACATTGCCTTAATACAGTTTATATTGCTCTACACTGTATAATCACTGTATACACTGTAGACTGCTATAACGTGTGATTCTATTTAATTTATAGAGATTTTGTTAATGAATAACAAATAGAACATTGATGTTACTGTTTTATTAACTTATCAACTGCTACAATGAGTTTGGGGGAAAAAGTCAATAAAATAAAAGAATAAAAGTACTTTGGCAATATTTCATTAGTGTTTTGTTGGTTTTAACTTGCAAAAGACACCCATATGTGACAAACAGACTAAGCTCTCTTCACCTAAACTGACTATAATGTATATGATATTTTCTCTAAGATTTTCACAAAAGTATAATCTTGTTTCTCAAACTAAATACTGTATCTTTCCAAGTGGAAGACAAAAAACTACCAAGACTGCCAAGTTCACATTGTATCTAATTCAGTTTAGCTTGGTAAATGAATAAGTGTCTTATCAGTGATTATCTTATGATATTAAGTTACGCTGTTGTTAGTGCTGAGTGGTTCACTAAGACTTTATGTGATCTAGTTCTGTTCATGAATCTTTGAATTGATTGAATCAAATGAATCAATTCAATAAAAAGAATCAGACAGTTGGGCTCTGCTTCATATCATCTAGACCCAAACATATTCATTTTCTATAGTTTCTATGATGTGAAATATCCAGACCCAATAAATTGTTTTTGATTTAGAAATAAGAACGTACTATATAGTTCTGCTGTAAGGTTTAGTGTTCTATACTGGAGTTACCCATTTTACTCGGGTAACCTCCTAACATTATCATTAGGAAGTAACAGTGGTAACCTCCTAATGCATTATGTTACATTTAAAAAAAGAACACTTTTTCTTGTTTTATTACCCGTTAAAAGTTATGTTCGTAGTTGGCTATATGACAAGAACTTAATGTGCATACTGGACACGGCAAGCAAAGATTAAGTATCTGAAAGACAAAGGGCTTTATACAAGCTAGTGGGAAAATCCGAATTCTGCAGCTTTGCCAATCTTAAAAGATGCAAAGCAAAATACAACACTTTGTATAAAATTGTTGCGATAAAAGCACTTAAAATAGTGTGGGTATCCAGTTTCAGTGAAAAATCTTTAGTGGTGACTGAGAAGGTATTGTAGGAAATTTAAGTTTTATATTGAATAGAAAGAGGTTGTTGACAATCAGGAGAAAGTAGACACTTAATATAACATTATTTTGTGAGTTGATTTAGTTTGAGTTATTGTCAGGGATTTAGTCAATTCAGTTGTACAATTGGAATGTAATAGGAATGTCAGAAAAAGCGAATAGCTTGAATTATGTATTAATATTTATTTCAGCATTGTTTTTAACAAGTGGCTGCTTACACAGAAGAAAACTGTCTGAAACAAAAGCATTAATCTGTGGGTGTTTTCTTGTTCAGATACTGGAGAGGTGTATGTACATCCACACCTTATAGCTCTGTACCAGAGACTACAGTCCACCGAGGAGAAGAGTATGAAGCTGTCTCATGAGCTGAAGCAGGTGCTGGATCACCTCAAATTCCTTGTGCAAGAGCAGAAAAATGCTTCCAGTAGCAATCAAGGTGAGCATTTGTTTCATCTCCTGTTCCACGATTCTGATACTACCAAACAAGTTCCATTTTTTTATTTTCTGGTGTATGGCCAGGATTAATTTAATAATAATGCTTTTTACGCTTGCATAAAGAATCCCACACATATTTTAAGATTAAAAATTTAAACAAGAATATGTTGACGTGAGTTTGTCATAGTTGTCCCTCAAACAGTGTGTAAGCACCATTCTAGAGCCTTCAACCAAGCTTGGTTAGGTTGTTATAAACCCTACTACTGCACATGTTTATCATATTCAAACCACATTCATTGTGTTTGACGCAAATGATAACATTGGAAACAACCCATAGGATTGTTTCATACTCATATTTGATTTAAGTTATTGGTACGTGCTCTATTTGTAAACAAACTGGTCATGTTTACTTAACTTAATGATAAGAATACATGAATGATATCGTATGTGTAGTAGTTTGGAGCAAGGATCTCATCCAGCGATTTTTTTGAAAGAACTCAATGTATTGGCTTCAACAGTATGGCTGAGTAGCTAACCTTATTTTTTCAGTGCAAGTTTTATTTAGGTCTTGCAGATTTCAAGTCTTATACCACAGAGAAATACAAATTGTAAGTGGAACCTAAATTGGAAAGACCTCAGGGCCTGCCTTTGCCTTACCTTTTCTCGTGATTCTGAAATTCAAATGTATTCCTGGTTTCTTAAAAAGAGGTGTGATTTAGTGTTCTTTCTGTTTTCATCATTGAGGTTTTTGTAAATTCCCCTGTCTTTAACTTTTTTCGTCCATTTCACAAGGATATAAAATTTATTTTCCTTGCGTTGCAGATGTGTTCAAGCAAAAACAACACAGCATCACATCCATGTCTTTCCAGTCAAATGCCTACATTTACCTACCTCACCTGAAGGACAATGAAAACAGCTTGTTGCCGAATGTCATGCTGGGGCACGGGAGGACAGGCGGTGAGAAGCATTTTTCAAGCAGCCCTTGTTTCTTTAAAATAACAAATATGCACCCACCTCCGAAAAGCAGTGGGAAAAGGTGTGGTTTCACACCTTCCATTTAAGATGTAGTATATTGTTTTTCTATCAGGCTGTGCAGAGGAAAGCAAAAATGGATGTCTTCACTGAATGTACGACCTACAAGCAAATGTTAGGCCTGATTTTCTTTTGGCACTCAACATGAGAGATATTCCCTTGAGAGTAGCTTTTATATTACTTTATTTTTAGACTTATCTTGTACTGGTCCAGTGCTTTTAAAGTTGTTTACATATTAAACGTGACTTGTAGCAAAGATCTTATCAGGAATATAGGTTGGGGAGCTGTGTTAGCATACAAGTTGCAAAGGAAAAAAGATAGAGGTTAATTGCTTGCTAAAAAGGAAAAAAGTACAATAGAAGTTTGAGCTCCCTATTATATAATGTAGAGTATGTGTTTCTTTCTTTTACTTTTCAACATGGGACTGATTCCTGTTTGTGTTTGTATCTTATGTTATGTCTTCCTGTTGATTCTTACCTGGCTCTGTGTTGTCTTTCCTGCCATTCGAGGCAAGAGGGGAAAAACACCAAGCACTGTATTGTCTGACATCATGGAAACACTTGCTCTTTGAGAATATTTTTATCTATAACAAAACCAACAAGCCAAACTGATTAAGCTTCCTATTATCTCTGTTAAGCTAAACTGTTTTATTAATATTATTTTTTTAAATACTGGTGGAGTTCAGTTTTTTAGTGGCTTTATTGTTACAGCAGATTTCCGTTGCATTCTTTATCAAATGATTTTGACGAAAAAATCCCACTGTCAAAGCTAGGTTACCTGTAGACGTTTGAATTTATAGTTCCCCGGATTCTCTGATTTTCTTATGCAAATTTATAGGTAAATTGGCTCTTCAACCTAGGTTTGGCGTGACCAACTCAAAACTTTGTGAATGTGCATTTTTTTTAAGGACAGATTTGAAGCAGAATTTCACATTGCAAGCTTGAATTGTTTTTGAGCTATTTCATTTCTGAGCAAAAAAAAAAAGAGATTAAAGTGTATTTTTGTATCACAATCTTTCTCCAGTGGAAAAGAGTGTTTGACAAATACAATGTAGTATGGGCAAATAAATGCAAATGGTCATGCCAAAACGAGGTTGGTTTTCCACAGAAGGACCACTAACAAGGCAAACTATGCTAAGCAATACAACCTGTATACCAACCTTACCAGATTTTAGCAGCCAAGCATGGCTGTACTTGGTCTGTTTGTGGATAGGAGATATACTGTATGTAAAATGTCCGGGTGCTGCTGGAATTTATTACAGTGGTGAAACAACCTCAGTCCATTTTTATTCTCTTCTCTGTATTGGGATGTAAATCCATTTATCACTCCATGATTGATTAGTTCTGGTTTAAGTGCCACTTAATCAAATTGTTGTATAGTTAATATTGTTTTTTATTACATTGACCTTTAATATGGTTTAATAGAAGAGCTCCCTAAAACATTATTTTTAGTGTATGAAAGTGATAAAGTCCTAGGCATGCATTGCCTTACAGTGTGTGCATTATATTGCTTGCCAAATTATTATAGGCAAGCTAGTAAAGAAAAGTGATAAGGGTAGATAATGGAAGGTTGTGCAGCGGTTCTGGTAGAGATGATAGAATAAAAGACAATATTCTTAAATATTAAAAAATATTGAAGATATAAACTATTCTGTATGTACATATATTCAAATATTGTCTTAAACAGAGCAAATCACCAGAATCTTGTTCATGATATTTTCTTGCTAATCTTGTTTTCTATATAACAGCCTTTTGTATTATGGATCCTGTTTTGTTTCAGTTAATCTGAATGGAAAACCACAACACTAATAAAAGAAAAACTGCAGTATATGTCTTTATGCACATTCAGTTTGTTCAATGTATTAAAACTAATGATTCTATGTAAAAAAAACAAGGTTGAATATAATGGTACTTAATAAACATCAAGGTTAAACTGAGTAATAAACAAGGGCAATAAAGGATAATCTGATTTCTGTCCAGTTCTTTGCTGGTGTGTTTTCCCAAAGTAGGCAAGTGCCACCAGCAATGGAGGAATTATTGTGAAATCTGTCTTTGCTGCAAGTACTCTTGAGGTGGTCATTTTAACTATCGTAATGACATAATCATTAGAATTGTTTCTACCTACGAGCGACACAGTTTTGAAAGGATGCACACTGCTTACGAGATGCATAGAATCCACAATCAGCATGTGTGGTTAGCACTTACCATGTCAACCATTTTTTTTTGCATGCTGTGGTTGGTTTGAGTCTTGTGAGCTGACTAGCATTCTTCACATCACAAACAGTAGAAGTATTCATTTCAACCCCACCACCCCAGGATATTTTTTAACAGTGCCAGTTTTCAAGAAAGACTGGTTTAACTGGGAGATCGATATCAAAACTGTTCACTCTGTTCATTGTAAACTTGAGTACAGCTGTGTTGAGAAAGTGTTACAAAAACGTCCAACAGCAGCACTTGTGGAAGGCAGCTTTTCTACCAGCTCTGAAAACCTCTCGATGAAAATGGTATAAATTCTAACAAACACAGTGCCTAGCTAGAGAAGGTCTATGCACCCTTTCCAAACTAACCCATTTTGTGGCCTAACAGCCTGAAATCAAGACACATTAAACCAGAATTTCTTTGTTTACATATTGTAATGTACAACCTCCAATGAAAAACAAATGCCCATAGATTATGAAAAGTATTTGCAATATATATATATTCTGTATACATGTTTTAAAATAGTGCTGAATATGTTCTGCCTGTTTCAAAGTGCTTTTTTTTCTATTTTCTGTGTTCCAGTCCCCCTTGTGCTTGGCATTCCTACTGTGAAGCGAGAGAAGCAGAGCTACCTCCTGAACACTCTGAGCTCACTTTTATCTGAGCTGTCTGTAGAGGAGAAGAGTGACTGTGTAATAATTGTCTTCATTGCTGAGGTCAGTTACCCTGGAAATTCAGTTCAACACAGATTATTGATTATAATGGAAATAATGCTCTCTGCTCCAATGTCCTTATCAAATGTGTGCTCACAGGAGTGCCAGTTGCGCATATTATCGCTGAAAGGGAGGAGTTATCTTAGATTCTGGGAAAACTTTTCCACAAGTGCTTTATACTGTATTCTCAGATTGTTTTGAACCTTAAGAATTAACAGGAGCTTGATAGGTCAGGGCATTTGCAAATTATTTGAGTGATTTCTGACAGAATGTTTGGAAGAGTTTATCAATAGATTTTATAGAAAAGGGGATTAAACTTCTCAGAGGTTTTCTCCATTTTGTGTGATTTATAGTCGTAAGATCATAAAAAAGGTTACAAACGAGAGGAGGCCATTTAGCCCAACTAGACAAATAGTAGTTAGTAATTAATTGACCTGAGGATCTCATCCAGCCCTTTCTTGAAGAAATCAAGGTATGGGCTCCATCAAAATACAATAGCTGAGTAGGTTGATCCCCACGATCTATACTCCCACAACCCAAATCATTTAAATGATTTTCTAAGTAATGCTTTTTGAAATTGTAATTATGTCGGGGCACTATATATGTACATTAATGTATACACTAAATGTTACATTTAAAAAAAAATAAACTGCAGTTAAATGAACTCAACTGAATGAAATTAAAAGAAGGAAAGGGAATAAACATGAACAAAGGAATTGAATTTCAAATGAAAAGAGACAAAGGAACTATAACTCAAAGATAATCAGTTATTGTTTATTCATTGCTTTGGGTAGTCAGAGATGGGATAAGCCTACTGGTCAGGATTTAGAGAACAATGGAAAATAAGAACACTCACTGATAGCACAGTTCCAGAGAGCCCTGTCCATACCAAAGTACACCTGTTCAGTGGGGAAATTAGTAATCTTCCATTATCTGTTACGCCAGTTGCATCTTACTTGCAATGTCTGTTGCAGTATGTCAGATTACGTCATATGAAAAAACATGGACAAACTCAAAGATAGTGGCAACTAGTCCACATCATCACTGAACAGTAGTAATACAGTACATAAGTGCTTGTCTCTGTGTTCTGATGGCCTGTTGAGCTCTAACTGAGGCTGAAGGCAAACGTACATTGGATGACTACTACTGGGAAAACCAGTTTTTGCATTCCCATGTCTGCTGATCACTGTTGATGGATTTGTTAAGGAACTGTAAACCATCAAACCTACCTATGATGAGTTAGTTCTTGGTTCTGCCTGACCTTGAGGCTATTTGGTGGAATTTGCGTCAACAAAAATCAACTGAAAACAACACATTGGGTTGGGTGTGTGATCTGCAGAACGCTTTATAGGCTCCGATTACAGGCTATACTTTGATACCCAAAGTTGTCAGAACCAAGAAAGCAAAGTGAGAGCATCAGACAGAGCTCACCATGACTGGATAAAACAATGTCACAACCAGATGTCTCCTCAGACGAAAGCTGCCCACTGCCAGAGAGTGTGTGGTTCTGAAGTGTTATAAGGGCTATGCAGATAAAACATTTTTATTTCTATCCCTCTGTGGGCCATCTGCATGTTTTTGCAAAGGCTTAATCACCTTTATCCCCTTAGTGAAGGTTATTTGAAATATATGACCTTTACAGACACGTAAAGCCGTTCCTTTGTCTCTTTTCATTTCGAAATTCCTTTTTTGACTTACAAGGCATTGCTCCCAGAGCACAGGATCAGGTTTTACACACACGTAAGAGAGGTCTCAAACTGATATGTAGGAGCTGTGTTTGAGACCTTTTGTACATATTCCTCCAGAGACAATAGAAAACAAACAGCCTATAGTCCTGTAGATCACTGGCTGTCATAGGTTCATCCAGCACAGCTTTACCCAAAGGACAGCAAATAATTGCCTTGGCAAGTTGGCAAAGGGTGTCAATGTTTCCACACCTTAGGCCTATAGTATCCCCTTTCTATCACCTTGTTCCACATTCTGTCACTGTATCCTGTGTCATTTTTTTTAAATCTATTTTGTTGTGAAGTGGAAACCACTATTGTCATTTCTAGAAATCACAACCTTAGTGGTTTTTCAGTTTTTTTAATGACCTAAATACATTTGTCTGCAGCTGTGGGTTGCTCCCAGGAAGGCTCAAGACAATTTTTCAGAGTTGGGTTGTGTTTTTTCTTTATTCACTATATACTGTATGAGAAGTCGGCACAGGTACCCTGGTCTTTTTTCACCTGTGAATTCACTATATTTATATACATAAATGAGAAAAATACATACTTACACATAATTTAAAATGTAACGTAAAGTTTACACAGAAAAAAATAATGCAGATAAGCAACACTCCTTTAATTGAAACTGTGTGGAGTTTTTCGTTTTAAATTCTTCGTTATTTAATCAGTATCCCATAGATCATATTAGTAGGCTAATGTTTTCTACTGAATGACTAGTTGGGGCAGATCTCATGAGGAATTGCAAATAAAACTCGTTTAACATTAATAATACTTGTCTGCAAACAGACATTATTTTGGTGAGATAATTAATTTCAATGTTTCTGTACAAGGCTATTGTATATTATTTTGATAAAAATCAACCACTTAATATTTGTGATTTATTTGTTTTTATTATGCACACAGACCCTGGTACCAAAGTATGTTTCATGGTGGTATCTGGTTTCAGTTTTCCTACTAATTATAGTCTCTGGTGTGTGTGTAATATTTAACCACACCCATGATTGTTAGGCACCCACTGAATTACATTAGAAAAGGATAAAATGAAGTAACCCCCTGTCTCATTAGTAGTGTTTATATCTGTATCTACACTCACAATTTAGCTGTAAATAAGTTATGACAGTTGAAGGCTCTGCTGCATCATAGTGATATCTTAGAAAGTAATATATTACACTGGTAGCAATTTCACTTTTATTAAAGAAGTAAAACACTGCAATATTGTTTCTTTAATAAACAACGTACTGAGATCAGAATAAAATATACAGTAAATCCAATATAAACAATGAGAAATTGATTACATTGAAGCATAAAGGATAATATTTACCTGCCATTATATAGGAACTTGAATACCTTTCTCTTTCATGAGTGAAATGTACTGTGTCCGTAACATTTTACACAGTGCATTTATTGTGCCTAATTCATGTCTCATGTCGTGTTGAATCGTGGTGCTAGATGTTAGATGCATTTCCAAGGAGAAACATGAGGATCACAGCTCTGGTTTCATTACTCCAGCGCTGATGGCGGGTGTTGGGCCAGCTTCATAATGACAGCTGGATGCTGACATTAATACACAGTGTGGCGTCATGCAGAAGTGTGACAGTGCCTGTATGGAAACACTGTTTGGCTTAGTGCTGGTGCCACTCTGGCTTTTGTTTGTCATTTTTATCATAAATTACAGCTGTAAATGGGAATTCTTTTTAAAATTGAAAATGTGCTACAGCAAACTGTGTAGTAATAGGATAAGATAGCTCATGAGCAGATGGTTATGTGGAACATTATTTTACTAGATAAAAAATAGAATCAAAATGATTGTGTCATCCAATATCTTTCAGTTTATTTTGATAGTGCTATTTGGTTAAGGGGCAGATTGTTCATGTTCTCATATTCTCATTTCACACTCCTAAGTGGTAAATTTAATATCTTACATTGGCATTTAGAAATTACAAAATGTAAATGGTTTGTTTCAAAACCCCTAAAATAGTAGAAGATTAACTGAGATAGAATAATTAGGATAGATAATACTTATTCTTAATTTGCTTTCCCTACACCATTTAATTTTTGGTTTCTTTCAGGTTGATGAACAATATGTTAACAGTGTAGCAGAGAGTATAAAGAAAAAGTGAGTGATTTTTTTTTAAAGGTATCAATTAACAGCTACTTAACTGCCAGTAAAATGAAACTCCAGAATCACTGTTTTTATGCTATGATTTTAACAGCTTTGTGCACTGTGCTTTTAGTCTGAGAATTTAGGATTTCCTCTTGTATTCCTAATACCCAGTTTAACATTACAAACATTCAAAGATGTGGAGAGACAAAACATCCTTGTAAAGGGTTATATGAAATGCTTTCACATGCAGGACAAAAAACTTAAGAGGAGGTGTTTTAACAGTAACAGAATTAATTATTTATTGTGTTATCTGGAATAATTAAAAATATTGCATACCTGTAAATTGCTTATTAGCTGTCAACTTTTGTCTTATATCGTAGCTGTAAATTCTCATACTGGACACTCCTTCAGAAACAGTGGTACTTCTGCAGCCCAACCTCCAAGGTGTGGTCTTTAGAATCTCAGTGTTTTCTCATTTTCTATCCATCTGAGCTGTCCATCAACTAATGGTGCCTTTCAAAGCATCACTAGTTTGCTTAATTCAGCCTTTTCAATTAGCAGTCCCTAACAGAAAGTTGCAGATTTCAAGTTAAAAATGCAACTCTTACTGTTTAAAAGTTGACGGCAATGAAAAAGGCTGGCATACACATGATCACTTCAAATAAGAAGTAAATTAATTAACGGACAACATGACAAGAGCAAAAACTAGAAGATGCAGAGATTATAGTGATTGGTGGGAAGGTGTGGTTTACAGGATATTCTAGAAATGTCTGTAGTAAAGTTTTCTCACAGTTATCCTAACTGTTGTTGATGCAGTTTTCCCAATGACGTGGAATCTGGTCTTCTGGAGGTTGTTTCCCCTTCTCCTTATTTTTACCCAAATTTCACTAACCTGAAAGAAACATTTGGGGACACAAAAGAACGTGTTAAGTGAGTATTACAACGGCATTGAGGAGATCCTGTTTTCACTTTCATTCATGTTAATTTACCTGGTTTTTGACTGACTCAGCAGTATTTCAATGAGTTAAATTAATTTAGGGACAGCAGGTCTCTAGCATATTTGCACAGGGCGTTCAATTGGTCTTATCTTGAACTTTGAATAGCAAACTGAAAATGTAGGCTTCCCAAGAAATTAAACAAGTTTAATTGATAGTGATAAGAATTAGAATGCTGTGCAAACCTTGTTAAGAGGAAATGTGTGCTTGGAATAAAGTACTGCACTGTACATTCCACTGTTACTAAGTGTTTTCCTTTGCTGGTCAAATTACAGTAACATAATGAAATGGTTTCTAGGATAAAATCCTTTAGTTTATTAAGAAATCTACTTAAGAGGCATCTTTTCTCAACAAACATTACTCTGTATTTCATATAGTTATTCTCAAAGGGTGAATACTCCTTTCTATGACTCTAACCACAAAATAAATTAATATGACAATTTTAAGGTACTGTATAAAGTTAAAATATCTGCATCTCCTGACTGGAATATTCACTTGTTCAAAGTTTTCAATGTGAATCAGTTCCAGAAAGTACCCTATATGGAGAGCAAGTTGGGATATGCAAAAAGGCAAATTCCCAATACAAGTAATTGTATATGGCCAATAAAGTGATCTTATCTCTTATCTGTTCTTCCATCTTAGGTGGCGAACAAAACAAAATCTGGATTACAGTTTCCTGATGCTCTATGCGCAGGACAAAGGATCTTTATATATACAGGTAAGGACAAGACTTGTAGGGACTTGACTAAATACAAACTTTTCACCATTATGATGTGATGATCTTGTGTTCAGGGGGAACCCACTGTAGAAAGTATTCAAATAAGAAACACATTTAATTTCCTGGCATTATACTCATTTTATCATGTGGATAAACCACATGTAAATCTGTCTTCTCCCTTTCAATCACATCTTTTGTGAGATGCTGAAAGGAGGCTCACGGACAATGATGCCTGTCTTGTTCACGGTGCTTGAGCATTATACAGTCTACTGAGACAAACTGGAAGAGGCTTATAGCAGTCTGGAAAGGAGATAACAGTCTGCAATGGAACTTTAAAAGGGAGCAATCCAATCCACTGCAAAGGACCTCAGTTTATTGCCTGCTTCCATTATCATTTACCAATAGTCCATGCTAATTACGTGACTGATTACGTGGCTAAAAGCATCCTCAGAGAGGCTCAGTTACCACATCTGCGGGTACAGCAGCCTTCATTACAAAACCTGAGGGACCAGGGGAGAAGCTCAGAATATGACAGCAGCTTTTAGTCTTCTCATTCAAAATTCATGTTGAAGACTGAGGGCTCTCTGAAAACCATATCTGTTTCACCCATTGTATCAGTGTTAAATTCAAACAGCTAACAAATTAGTCCAGATTGTAAGCGGTCTTAATATGTTTGTAGTCTATTTTACCAGTGACAGTGTTATTTTTGGTGATACTCCTAAACTTTTTTTTTCAAATTAATTGCACAAATAGCTGTAAGCATTTGGAATAAGACAATAAAGGACACATTAGGAGTATGCCACAATTATCAGTTAAGGAGCAATTCAAGTACATTACCGGAATTGAGTTTAGTATTTGGTTTACAAATTGGTTGTATAGTATATTAATGATGTGAAATAAAGATGATTGCATGGGGTTTTCTTAAAACTGCAGTAACTTCTGTTTTTCAGTTAGAAGATGATATAGTCGCAAAACCAGGCTATTCAGAAATCATGCAGACATTTGCTAATCAACAAAGAAACAATGAGTGGTTGATTTTAGAATTTTCACAACTTGGGTTTATTGGTAAGTATTCTGTTCCTTTAGTCAGACACACAGTATTATCCACTGTATTCTTAAAAGATCATATCCAACCAAAATCAGTTAATTTGATAAACAACCTACAATGCATCAAACCGGATGAATAGTAATGAAATAATAACAAACCTGAAATTGCACCATACTTCTAGAATATTGGTGAATAATATTTTATCATGCTATGTACTGTAAAAGTTTAGTTCTACCCGGTGAACATGACTGCTCAGTATTAAGCCATGACACTGACTTCTGTTCAGGTCAACATTATCCCACGAGCATGACACATACACCCAAAAAGCAGAAATTCTAGATAAAGGTCACCTTTACTGGTGGAACAAAGTTTCTGAGCCCATGTGAAAGCAGAGTGTGTGATCAGTCTGATTTGATTGCTGTGACACGCAGATTCTGACGAGAGCAGGAATACGCAATAAAAGTTTTGGAAACTCTGGCTAATTCCCAGCCATGTGGGCTTCAGTACTTATTAAAAGGGTTGGCAGGCTGATGTCCAGAGATGCTATCGGGACTGTTTTTGAGACTGCTTGGTTTGACTCCCTCTATGTCACTGGAAATGAAAAGCAGAACACATTTGCAAAACTATACTAGACAAGTATTTCCATCTGGACTAGAAGTTCACATTTTATTTTAGTGCAACTCATTTACAAAGGAATATTAAAGTCTTCTCTTTTCTTGTAGGTAAAATGTTCAGAACATCAGACCTTCCTCTAATAGTGGAATTTATTTTGATGTTTCACAAAGACAAACCTATTGATTGGTTGCTGGATCACATCTTGTGGGTAAAGGCCTGTAATCCAGAAAAGGATGCAGTAAGTACACCATCCTTTCTTCACAGAACCCAGCCTGAAATCGGTAGTACTTTGTGGGGCAAATAAAAAAGACAGTGAAATTGAGATGAGTCTAATATGAAATAAGGGTAACAACTTACTTCCTTGTATTTCATCCGTTTCCTCTAGACTTGGAGAAAGAAATTGTAACAATAATAAATAAATAATGTTTTTTCCATCCTAATCACAGCACACTATAACCCTCAGTATTATAATATCAACAATATTAGTGGAACCCTCAGTTCCACTGATATTGCAAAAAACAGCAACCCATACAAATTCAGTGAACCCATACAAGATGAATTCAAGGGACAGGTTTTCTTATAAAATGTTCAGTTAATCACCTGAGGCTGATGAGCTCAACTAATTCTACAAGCCTCTTATCTTTTGTTAGAGAAATCTGCCCCCCCAAAAAAGACAGGTTTTCTTATGAAATGTTCAGTAAATCACCTGAGGCTCATGAGCTCAACTAGTTCTACCAGCCTCTCATCTTTTGTTGGAAAAATCTCCCAAAAATGTTACATATTGTGGCAAGGTGGCACCATAAAGAGGTCTGCAGCTCTGCTTAAAACCACATGAGTGCATCTTTTACATTGATTTCCATATGAAAAGTCTGTTAGGGAAATACAGGTAACTGCCTATACAAAGTAAATGAAGGATGCAAAGTAGTTTGAAAATGGGTGCTTCCATACAGGTGTGGTTCCTGAGTTAATTAAGCGATCTATAACCCATCAATAAAAATGCAGGGCAGAGCCACATTATTTTGGTTACCATGGCTATAAGAAAAGATCTCAGTCACTTTGAAAGAGGAGTGATTGTTGGGGCATGTTTGGCAGGAGCTTCAGTGATGAAGACTACTATGCTTGCTAATGTTTCATGTGGAACGGTCACTAAGGTGATGTTGGCATGGATGTCTGAAAGGAAAGACATTTGCCCCTAGACATCAACTGGGGGCAACTGTGGACGAAAGGTCATACTCTTTGACTGTGAAGTCTGCATTGGTTGGAGAATCAAGCCAAAACAGAACAGAAGAGGAGCTCTGAATCAGTTGATTGCAAATGTCAGTCTAAGACATGGGCAGGCAATTTCATGAAGTGCAGTTCATTGAGTACTTCACAGAGAGGGATACTATGGTCAGATTGCAGTGCGTAAACCCCTTATTACACCTAAAAATGCAGTTTTGCGAGTACAAAGAGGTACAAAGAACACAAGCAGTGGTCTACTGAGTGCTGGGAAAAGTCCTTGTTAGATAAGTCATCCTGCATCCTGTTCTCAGTAAGTGGATGAGTACATGTGAGAGTATATGTTGGTGTGTACTGTGGCAGTTTGCTGTACCTTATATGGAAATCCTGATTTCATTCAGGCCTTCCTCCTTCCACTTTGAGTAATTAGGAGGTTCCCAGAGAGGGAGGCCTCAATTTGCACCCATACTCAGATGAAGCAGGAATGAAGCCTCAGACCAACTGCTTCCATGTCAGTGGTGCCAGGACAGCAGAGTCAGAATAGGGCTCTGTCAGGCTAGGACTTTGCTGTTTGGAGGAAAAGAAACTGAGAGAACCAGTAAAAGCTCTAACTTAGGCGTTCTAGTTAGTCAGAGAAACCTCCACCAGGCAGAGATTGCAGTTTTGCCAGCAAGTGGAGGGGATTGCTTGAGAAAATGAGAAGAAAACAGTGGAAGTAGCAGCTGGGCGTGAAACTGCCACTGTGCAGGTGAACCCATACTGGCAATGCTGGTGATGCCTCACCAGGCAGGAAAGCGAAGAATGCTTCATCCAACTAAACATTTTTCTGTGAGGACAACTAACAGGATTCCTTAAGCGGGGTGTATTGGAACAAGAGCAGTAATGGCAGAGGGAATTGGTATTGAGGTCATTGGAGAGCAGGGACTTGCTGAAGAACATGATATTTCTGTCAATGTACAGCTATCAGCGGCGAGCTCTAAATGTGAAGCTGACTGAGTGGGAGGCAGCCAAAAAGGTGGATACATGAGACTTACTGTGATGGAGACTGCAAATACAGTCTGGCCTGTAGCATTAATAGCTCACATACAAGATGCAAGGTTCCTGCAAGGAGATCCATAATCCTGGACAGCCTTAGAGGTCCAGTCCCACACTAGGACATCGGCAATGCACAGAGTGTGACAGGAGGTTGGCTAGCTGGTTCTGGCAGAGAAGTGACTCAAAGCCAATAGTAGGCTATGGTCTCCCACAATAACAGGACCCCAGGACCATGGATGAAATGCACATCTACAGATAATCTAAAATGCTGTAGTCGGGTTTCCATGAGTTGCAGGCTGTAAGTGAAGATGGGAAAAGGAAGGGGTGAGAAGTAAGACCTTGCTAGTATTTAATAACTAAACCACATGTGACTCTGGGGCTGTTTTCCACAACTGATGCATGACAGACTTGTGTAGTGCAGTTTAGGGTTGATGGACTGTCTGAAGTTGGACCTGATAACATGGGGTACTTCACAAACAACCACTAAAAGGAAAATGTCATAGCTGTGGGAATGAAAGTTATACATGTTCATTTCTCAACTGGTGTGCCTTCAGATATTAATGGGTGCACTGTAATAAATTACATCTTATTTATATTATTATTATTATTATTATTATTATTATTATTATTATTATTATTATTATTGCTAATTAGTGTAGTGGGGCTGCTGGAAAAATGGCTGCTGTGCACCACACAGGGAGGTGGTGTACTTCACTGGTGAAGTGGATCCCCTGCTATGTGTAAAGGGTTTTGGAATCCTCTTAGATGAAGAGTACTATATAAAATGTAATTAATGAATGTGAACCACTGAAGAGTTAATACATTATTATTTCCCCCAACAGCTACACTGCAATAGGCAGAAAGATAGCTTGAGAATTCGGTACAAACCGTCATTGTTTCAGCATGTTGGACTTCATTCTTCACTACGTGGAAAAATTCAGAACTTGAAGGTGAGTTAAAGAATAAATTAATATTTTAGCTTTTAGTTTTAAAATATATGTATCATTCACATTCATTTTCAGCCATATTTCCTTGAAGAAGCATCTATCTTATTGTTTCAGTATGAAATATCCATTATTTTGAATGACTACCAATTTTACTTTTTTTAAAATCTCCTATAAAATGAACTTTTTTTTTTCAGAAAAATATAATAGAATTAGAGATTTGCTACAGTGTGTCCTAACAACTTTCCAATTGATTTCCCTAAATCCTCTTGGCCAGCAACCAGCAAAGTCTCCACAGGATAAGCACTTCAGATAATGCAACATTAATTGTGTGCAGGAAAGAGGGCGTTATTTACAGGCAGTTCTTCTTCTACTGTTTTTTCCCCTTTAATTAGTCTTATTAATTGTATTGCGCTGTTGATGCATTACAAGCTCTTTTCATGCTTTGCACAATTTCAACATGAAAAACCTGATGTCTTTTTTTCATTAATTCATGTGAGTCAACCAACTGGAATGTGGGGAAGAACATGACTGTGGGAAAGTTAAATAAAACTCCTGAGCTAATCGTACATGTACAAGTCATAGCTTTATTTTCTTAACATTACCACTTTTTTTTGGCAGGTTCTTCTGTTTTCATCTAAGGTGGAAAAATGTGATTACACATGGTATCTCTAGGGTGGCACGGTAGCACAGTGGTTAGCATTGCTGCATCTCAATACTGGGGCCCTGGGTTCAATTATGGACCTGGGATACTATCTGCGTGGAGTTTGTATATTCCTTGTGTTCACCTTGGTTTTCGTCAGGTGCTCCAGTTTCCTCACACAGTCAAAAGACATGCTGGTAGGTTAATAGACTTCTAGATAAAATTGGCCCTGGCTTGAGTGTGTGCGCCCTGTGATGGACTGGCGTTCTGTCCAGGGTGTATCCTGCCTGGAGCCCATTACATGCTGGGATAGGCTCTGGCTCCCCCATGACCCCGAATTGGAAGAAGCAGTTAGAAAATGGATGGTTGATACCTCTATTGCATGAAGGACAATGTTATAAAAGCAACTGCAATTTTTCACACTTGATAATGTAATGGAGTTCCTTGTTTCCATTTTTAAAGAAATATTAGACTGCCATTATACCTCTTTCTTATGACAGCCCGGTGCTCAATTTTAAGGTATCTCACTGATGTGGAGTAAACTTCCAACTCAGCCATGAGCAACATGGTTTTGATTAATTGAAATTCCTTGTTCTAGGGATGTATTGACCCACTCTCATGGTCCCCAGGAGACTAAAATATATAATTAAGGAAACACTTTGATCAGGAGGCACTACACATCTGTCATTATGATTGAATAAAATAGCATCAATGCCCAAAACGTGCATTTCGCTACTTGCCACTCAGTGTGGTTGGTAATCTCTGAAAACACTTCAGAGGACATCGTGTATTTGCTTTAACTCAGAAACACTAATTGTGGAGAAGCCAACAGACAGGAACCGTAATAAATTATGAAACGCATAACACTTATTTTTTTGCAAGTAAATATTACTCTGTGTTTCTGAGATTCAAATGGAGTCTTTATAATCCTCTAGTGTCCTATTATAGTAGCATTAAATGTCAGAGCAGCCAAGATTTTGAAGTAAACACATTTTGTGAAATGGGACCATTTGTGCATAACATTAAAAATTAACAGGCTTTTATACTTGTGATAAACAAGAGGGTATATAAAAATGTGGGTATTTCTTTCCTTGTCCTTTTAGTGGGGCATAAATAGAACTGGATAAAATTCATGGTGGAAAAAGGACACTAAAGACAAAGCAGAAGTATTTGTAAAAATTATGAGTGTGTCACATTTATTTTTCATGTTGGCACGTCTCCAATGTCAACACTATACTTAATCCATTTTGCTGCCATCTTGAATCATTTTCTGTTTGGTAGAATATCTGCATACATCTACATCTTCAGTCTGCTTAGAATGCAGCCTGTATTAGTCTGATTTTTGAATACTAAAAATATGTAAGTGAACAAGCTTTTATTGATGATTCAGATACTTTAATGGTTCTTAATACGAAGCTTACTGATATCTGACTACTAAATCAAAGGATTCTCAAAGTCAGGTAGTCTGTGCTATCTTGAAGAGAAACTGAACAGTCATGGGACGAAACACGGACGCAGTAGTTAGATTAGCTGCCTCACGGCTCTGGGGCCCTGGGTTCCATTTCAGACATGAGGTACAATCTGCATAGAGTTTGTATGTTCTCCCAATATTTGTGTGGATGCTCTAGTTTCCCCCCACAGTCCAAAGGCATACGCATAGTATAATTGGCTTTTGGGGAAATTAGCTCTAGGTACAAGAACAGCATGTGCTTATCTGTGGATATACTGTATGTCTGCATCTGTCTGCCCTGCAGTGGACCTGCCTTCTGTCCAGGTTGTATCCTGGCTTGCGTCCATTGCTTGTCGGAACAGGCTTTGGGTCCTCCGAAAACACCTGAATTGGATGGATGGATTTCTAGTTTACCATGATTAGAACTCTGTCCTTCATGTCATATTCACAATGCAGAACTATAGCAATGCAATAGCAATTGTTTTTAGGAAGTATAAAACTTAGGTTCTCTAAATCAGTTTTTTAGTGTTGTAGGACATTCTGGGTGTTACACCACCATTGTTTGGTGTTCCTTCACAGAACTAATGATTTGTTTTAATGGAACAAAATGCTATAAAATTATCGGTTCTTATGAAATGTGTGCTTTGTCACTGCTCTAATAATTGTATTAAAAACAAAGGTTACTACAGCAGCTTACTCCAGAACCGGGGTTTCCTGCATGAAACTTAATATTTTTTGCTCGATTCTTCGGTGTTTGCACATATCCCAAAGTGAACAATTTCAAAATTGTAATATTGGTAAAAATGTTAGAACAAATCAGTGTACAGCCTGCATGAATAAAAGTTACGTTTGGGTAGTCTCCATGAGAGTAGCTTCACTATCCTTTGAAGTAACTTATATTCAGCTCTTGGAGACTTTGCTAGTTTTATTGTCATTGCAGTTCATGTTTTCAATTTTTCCCGTGTCTTCCAAAACTACAGGATAAGGATTTTGGAAAGCATACCTTGTTCATTGGACACCCCAACCCACCAGCAAACATTAACACCAGTTTGTCAGCCTATCAGAGCCACACTCTAGTCAGAGCGTACCAAGGAGTGGACTTCTTCTGGGGTCTGACGCCTGTTTCCGGTGACTACATCAAAATCGAGTTCCATCAGCCTTTAACATTGAAGGGGTAAGACCAGCGGGTAAACTAATTTTAGCAACAGTCTCTTACCAGTTACCTTTTAATTTTGCCGCTGTTTGAACCAGCAGTAAGTACCAAAACAGTTATTTTCTGGTATGAGAGGAATGGCGTGTTTGTCAGCTGAATGAGATTTTGAGATTGATTTAACTAAGAGCAGTCAAATAAGCATGAGAGGCTGTTATTCGTTGTTCTTACGTAAAGTAACTTCTTCCATAGCGTAAATAGCAGACACCCTATTTTTTAAAATAATCTAACACATTCTTGAGAACACCTATGAATAACTTGCAAAAACATCCGTCACAACTACTGTCATATCTCTGATACATTAAAATATTAATAAGCTTTATTTTATATAGCACTTTTAAACATGGCTTCTGAAAGATACTTTTTTCACAGTTAAAAAAGTCCAAAATGAGAGGAGAGAGCAGAATTACCCAATTACACAATAACAGTATGGGTTTGGTATACAGTAGGAAAGCAAAGGGCAGGTATAGAACCTTTTATATAGCACCTTTAAAGGTGGCTTCTCAAAGCGCTTTACAGGATGCCAATAACAATAAATAAGAAGAATACACAAGATAAGACACAATTACAATTACAACAATAACAATAGAGGAGACCGTGGAAGGTGGTACTAAGAAGAGCAGAGGGGTGAAGAATGGAACCAGTTAAGTAAAGGCTTTTCTGAATAAGAAGGTTTTGAGTCTGGATTTGAAGGAGTTTAGAGAAGGTGACTCTCTAATATCCTTGGACAAAGAGTTCCAGAGCTTGGGGGCATAACAGGAAAAGGCCCTGTCCCCCATACAATGTAGACGGGCTTGGGGGACAGTAAGGAGGGCAGAATTTGAAGAGCGGAGGTTGCGAGGTGGGGAGTAGGGCGATAATAGTTCAGACAGGAACATTTTGTTCTTCTCCTTGCGAGTGACTTTTTTTACTGCAGGAATTTGAACCAGATATCAATGCCATCAATGACCCTTGTATTGCAGTGTCCAGGGATGATTCCCTTTACTACTTTGTTTTTTTTTTAGTTGTATTATTTCAGTTTTAAAAGCTGTAATTATATTTGCAACTATGAAAATCTACCCGCTGCACTATAACAGAATTTGACACTGATTATTGCAGTCATTATGAATATAATTTATTCTGCAAACTTTATTGCAAGTACAATTTCCATGTAATTTATAACTTTTGGAGTGTTTTTGTTTCCCAAGAATCTGTTAGAGATATGAAGTTTTCATTATAAAACAAAGAGAGATGATAATCGATTGAACTACAGCTTTTGAATTTTTAGAGTTTTACTGTGAGTAAGTGGACATATATTATCTGTTATTACAAAGTTAAATGTGCATACATCTGAGAACAGAGTTGTTCTGTTCTATCCTCAGAGGCTTCTTGGGCCTATTTAGAGAGTACAATGTATTTTGTACAGTATATTTGATATGCAGTTATATACCCCTGTATAATCTTGGGTGGTTCATAACCTTGCTATTATTAAATATCAAATAGAAATATGTATTCTATGTCATGCTTTTACTTGACGTTGTTGCTCAGTACACACTAGACTTTGACAGTAGACTTCGGTCAGTTCTTACCTCACTCTGCTTCTGGTGTTTATATAGTACAAAGGACATGCATGTGGAAGCTAATGTAAAATTAATTTGCAACACCCGAAGAAGGCTCCACAGCCAAAATGTTGTCATTTCTTTCTTTGTTCTTTTTTCAGCATGGAATAAACCTATTACTTGTTCCTTAATTTGTAACTGTTAAACCATGATAGGTGAAGTTGAAATATTTAACTTCACAAGAATGTGGTTTGCCTTTTCTATGTATCTATCCTCCACAATGCTTTTCTATCTTTAAGAAACAAGTGGTCCAGCACAAGTGTTTGAAGCCCTGAGTTCGACACATCAGTGTTAAATCTGTTGTGTTGATATTTTAGCATTTAGGAGTTAAACTGTCTCATATTGCAAGTGTTCATGGAGCCTTTGTGTGAAACAGTGTCTTTTATAAGGTAGCTTCCCTTTTTTCCCTTTGGTTCATATTTCATTTCTTGTACTGAAGATGTGTATTGGATTGACTTTTCAATGCCTTTTGAAATTTTTGAGTAGATGCATCAGGTCCCTTCATAGTCTTCTCCATTGAAGGCTTGAAAGGTACTCTTCTTTTATCCTGTCAGTGCAATATTCTTTTAAGCCTGGAAATGTATTTTGTCATTCTTCTCTTGACTGATTCCAGAGCAAAAATTTTTTGTGCAGACTAAATTGCATGGCAATCTGCAAATTAAGTCTTACTTGTACACATTTAACATCAAGTTAATTGATTTAAATAATAATTTGATATACTCATTTTCTGTTAACATTTCGTTTGCTTCCACATTGTCTAGAAATATGTAAGTGATGTGTCAACAAGAATGCTTTTATCTTTTCAGAGACCCTGAAGCTCATTGTTTCATATTTCATATGTATAGTTTGTTTGTGCTGGTTTTGCAGATAACATTCTTCATATGTGTACATCAATCATCACCTGGGTTTGGCCAGTCTTTTCTTCTACAATGTTTGTGCTACAGATAATTTTGTTTCCTGCTAACTTACATTTTTCTCTGAGAATCAAGCTGCTTGATACAAATCAAGAAGAGCAACTGTTCTACTGTAATTCAAATACTCCAGTTATTAAGTCACCCTAATTTGGGCATTCACACCTTATCTTATCTCCGAAGAGCTGTAAGAATTTTGTAATCATTGGGTTTTACCCTTGTCCTGAGCAATGTCTAAGAGTTAACAGCCTTTGAATAACGTATCTTGTTTCCTTAAGTACAGTTGTGTGCAAAAGTGTAGGCTCAATTCCAAGGTTGAATACTCTAAACCCTTATAAACTCTCAGATTGAGATTGTTGTTCTGCCTACTTTCAAGTACCATGGGGTCCTCTAAGCAGCTGTCTGAGGACTTGAGATAAAGATAATTCACTCTTACAAAGCAGGGGAAGGCTGAAAAGGTCTCTAAATGCTTCCAGCTTGTGATTTCCACAGTCAGAACCATTAAAATAGAAGCTAAGGGGAACTGTTAAAGTCAAGTCAAGATCTGGAAGACCCAGAAATATATCAGATAGAACTGCTCAAAAACTCATCAGATCTGTGAAGCAGAACCTCCAGGTCACTGCAAAAGATCTGTAGGAAAGTCTATTTGACATTAGATTCATTTTCCAGAGGTCCAAAGTACAGCACTGCTAACACAAAAATGATCTGCATGGGAGAGTTGTCAGAAGGAAATCTTCCTACTACTTCATCACAACAGTCAATGTCTAAAGTATGCAAAACAAAACCTCGATGAGCCAGAAACATTTTGAAACAATGTGCTGTGGACTGATGAAACAAAAATATAATATTTTGGCTAAAACCACAGAAGATCCATTTGGAGAAAAGTGGGTGAAGTAGTTGAAGAAAAGAACACCTTGCTAACCCTTAAGCATGGGCGTGGGTCTGTTATGCTTTGGAGTTGAGTGGCAACCAGTAGTGCCGGAAATATTGTACAGGTGGAAGGAAGAATGGATTCAACTAAATATCAACAAATTGTAGGAGCTAATGTCCCAGAGTGAGTGGAGAAATTGAAGCTGAAAAGTGGTTGGATATTATAGCAAGACAAAGATCCAAAAGATACCTCAAAATCAACCATGAAGGCCGTGAAGCACTTACAGGAATTAAAGATTAAGGTTTTAGAATTTCCCTTCACATTCCCCAGTCTTGGATATTATTGAAATTCTGTTATGAGGTCTGAAATATGCAGTGCATGCAACTGTACAAATATTCCTGAGTTAGAAGCGTTCTGCAAGGAAGAATAAAAAGCAAGACTAGAAAGACTCTTAGCTGGCTGCAGGAAACTTTTGCTGTGATACAGTATCTGCAAATGGAGTTATTACCAAGTACTGACTGACAGGATGCCCAGACTTTTGTACAAGCCACATTCATTTTTTAATTATTTTAAATATATCTTCAAAACTTTAAATACTAATTGTGTATTAGTTTGCAGACATATGTCAGGTTTAAGTGTATACCCCCACAGACATTGTGTCAAGTTCTTTTCACTTAGAGATTCACTGAAACATATGATTTGATCAGGGGTGCCAAAACTTGTATAATACAACCAGGCCCTGGAAATTTGTTTATTTTTAGTGTATCTAAACCAGCATTAATTATACCTCTTCCAGTGTTCACACATTTTTTAACCCATGTCTTTCTGCAGTATATAATGTTAATTTCTTATATTCATTTAATACAATAAATTAGCCATTTGCCTCACATCAGCTAAAGGTTTCCTATTTTGATCACTGATAGACTTCTTCCTTCACTGTTCTACCAGTGTGGTAATATAGCAAAAAATAATAATTTTGTCATTTAACTGACATGACAATGTTTTTTTCTTTATTGCCCTTTTTAACATTTTTTTTATTGTCCCACAATTTTACTCCAATTCTTTTAAGTGCGTTCTGTTCTTTATTAAATTATTAATCATTCTCATTCTAGCTTCCTTTCTCATTATATTTTTTCTAATTGATCTATTTAACTGTTTACTACTTTTCAAGCCTTTAAATATTTAAGTTAGGATGCATCAAGTCTGCGGTTCAAACGTAATATTTTTAACTGATGCCATAATTGCATACTGATTGATAGCTACTCTATCCGATTTAGCTCTAATTTCCTAAAATTGTAAACTTTTGTTTTTGATTTTACCTGTACTGTTTCAAAAATACTTAAAAACAAACAATAATAAGATCAGAGATCTGTAATGTGTTCCTCCTCTCTTTTTTCCTTGCTGTATCTTGGTTGTTTGAATAAACTAAATATATACACATTGCTTCTACTAGTTCTTTAGATAAACTGACTTATTAGCTATATTTAGCATTTATGTTTTCCGCTGCTGACATTACTGTTGGTTTTTCCCCAGTTTTTTTTAAAATGATATTTCTCCCATGATAACCAGTCTCTTCCTTTACGCATGTATCCCATAATAAAGCAGTCTATTCGAGCTTCATTATAGCCTGGGGAAAATTGGTTTATTATTGTATAAATATTACATAAAAGCACATTATAATTGATATCTGTATTTGGAGGGCTGTAGTATACATATACTGTACACCATGGGGATTCTAAGACCTTTGATCAATCTAAATTGTTCATGTGCTGTGTACCAATTTTTGACTTATGTTGGCACATCAACGCCTCTTCCTTTACTCCTTTCTCTTCAAAATGCTGTGGATCCATTATTGCTATAATCATCACCATTACTCCCAAAATACATCACAATTGTGTGCTAATGCGATAGCTACTGTTTCTTTTGTTGGCCTACTGTTACTCCTGAGGTATTAGTGTTACCTTGCCCTTTGACATTATATTTCCCCTGTGTTCTCTTTTTTTATTACCCTACTTTCTATGCATGTCCATTGAGGTTTTTCTTTGCATTTTATCCTCTAGCTGAGTGTGCTTTTTTTGTATATAACTAATTTCTGGGTTTATGCTATGTTTCTCTCATGAATTTTTCTGTAAGCAAAAATGAACCAGTCAGCTTGAGTCTCTTGGAGCATCACTAAGGACAGTTCTGCCTCCTTAAACGTCTTCAATCACTTTTGTACACTAGACCAGTGACGTCCCATTGACACCCTTTTGGTTCTTGATGAACGTCATAACACGTTTGTGACCAAACACAATTTTCAATGCAAAACACTAACTGGAGCATCACTGTCCTCGATTGAGTATGAAGTCAGTTATACCTGCAATTCTTCTCTCATGATGTAAATGTCAGCAAATCCGCCATGGATATTTCCCTTTATACTGCATATTAAAAAGCTGTGCGTCTTCTGATAAACCATGTTTTATCGTAGGATTTGGATGCACCATTCCATCTACCTAATTCTTTTCATGTCATGTCAGCATAGATTTACAGTAATATGGAAGTGTATTATAACTTGTGTGTTTGCAGAGGATAGCTGTGCATTTTTCTAAAAGTAAGACAGCCTGCATTGATTTGAATCCAGTTTGGTCTGAGGTTTCAGTTTAATATTCTAAAATTTGTTAGTAACCTAACCATTTTTTTTTTAACAAGAAGAGACCAGTGCACAGAATTCCTAACCAGTGTAGTTATTTATATTGATATTCACTGTACTGCAATATTCATAATACCCAATAACAATTAATTAAAGCATTTAAAGATATGCTATATTTCTTAACATGGGGTTTCTGCATTAGACCTAGTGTTCACAAGGCAAACGATGGCCAATAATGTCTGTACTCTTGCATACAGTTCAAATCCATACATTTTATCGCTGCAGGTACCGCTTTAAAAGTGGAAACATAGAGACCAATGGAGACAAGTTTTACAACACAACGGTGGAAGTGCTACCAGCTGATGTGAGTAAATTCCAGGTTATGAAACACTGGTATTATTTTCATCTGATCAGTGTTTTTTGCTGCCAGTATAGATGTTTTTCAAACAACTCTGTACATATTCTCTTGGTTAAATATTTAGCAGGTTTAACATAAAGTTGAATTTATAAATTAAAACTATTTACTAGGCGGTTTCATTTTAGGAAAGGGGATATTTCCCTAGAGCTGCCTGGTACTGAGGGAATTTATAGTACTGTATAGCTTTGGGTAACTGTAACCTTACAATTCTTTAAGAAATATTTGGGGGGCCCCAGTTAGTATTATTACAAATGGGGACTACGAAAATAGAGAATATCAGAAAATGACTGAGCAGGTTAATCAGTAATTAAAATAAATAATCCTAACCTCCAAATTGTAAAGATACACCAAGAATATACAGTACCCTATATGTTGGTATAATTGGAGGCACCTGAGTTCTTTGTTCTCTGGCATGGCTTTGGAGAAAAATGTAGTAAGTCAGGCATGCTGGGTAAAACAATTATTTATGAATAATGATAATACAAACTCTAAACGCACAACGACGACGACAACAACATACAAGTTACCCTATTTACAAACTTACAAACCAGGTGTCTTGAGATCTATGTCCTGATCAACCTGAACAACCCCTGACTTCTACCAAGTTTTCAAACCCTATATAACGCCCCTATAAAAGGCCAACAGGTGAGATAAAGCTGCGTTCTAAACTGAATATGACTTATACTTATATCTCTCTGTAAATCGGGATGCTACAAAATTAACAGGAACCCCGTCTCCCTATTCTAAAAAATGCATCCACTTGATTTACCAAGGGATTCTCTATATAGGAGATCGGAGTTTCATAAAAACAACAGAATGGCAAGCTCTCTTAACAAGGTTCAAAAACTTAACTCGAGTCTAACTCGAGTCAGAACAAGCGGCTTTTGCCTTCTGCCTTCTGCCTTCTCTTCTCTTCTCTCTCCCTCTGTGTTACTCTGTGCTATTTTATGCTGTGTTCCTGAGCTGTTGATGACACTTGATCATTTACCCGGAACTTAATTAACCAAAGTAAACCAGGGGATTCCTTTGATCAGTGTATCTTGGACCTAATACAACTCCGTAAACACTCCAGTTTCTTTCTTACTTTGAAGCTTCCAGAGAACTGTAAATGTTGATAATAGCCACGTTTTATTGTCTCTAGATTTTTAAGATATTTGAGAAGTCACTTCTAGCATTGTAGCATAGTATGTAACAGTATCACTAAATGTTTCAGCAATGTTAGTAAATAAAGAATGGATTTTCATTTGTTGTGTAATTAAAAATGAGGAACGTTCATTCTTCTCATTAGTTTTTTCAGTTCATTAGTTAATAAAGTAAACCTTATGTTTCTTTGTTTTGTTGAGTCTGTATATTTGGATGGCAAAATGTTTCTGAGACCTATGATGTCTATGAAACCCCATAGGAGTATGGCTTTTTATGGTTTTGTTTAACCATTGGTACTTTTATTACCTATGCATAAATTTGTTTAGAATTTGCCTGAGCAAACCAGAGAATCACGCATTTCTAAAAACTGCATTTTACTTTTTAAATTTGTCTCTCACTATTTGTATTTTACAAATTTCTTTAGTCGTGGATAATGTTTTCATGAGACATGAGAATGAGGGCCTCCTGTTGTCCTGACCTAAACTTTACATTTTGTAGGGGAGTTGAATAAGACCCTGTCATTTTAACAGTTAAATTCCTATTGTTTTTGTTTACAGGCTTCAGTTGGGTACAAAATGCAAAAAGGAGAGATGTCTAAATATGAACAAACCAAAGATGGCTTTTTTAGGATAGGTAATTCCTTTGTGTTTTACACATGACACCTGCATGGAAAATACTGTATGAGGCCATACATCAAAGTAGGTCAAAGGCATAATGCAATACATTGAAAAAGAAAAGCATAAAGCAGAACACAGAACACATAACAACTGAATGAATTAGTTGCTCAATTAGTAATTTAATTACAGGTATTCATGTATTTTGTACAAATTCAGATTTTGGGTGACCTGTAAGACTAATTGAATTGGCACTATGCAAGACCAGGTTTACGGATGCTATTTTAAAGAAGTAACACTTTAAAGTGTCCTATAATTACTTATTGATTTTCACGATGAAGTTCTTCAGTAACTTTAATGAATACATTTTAAAATAATCAATGGCTTCAATTAATTTATTTTCTGAAAAGTTATCAGATTACAGCCTGCTCAAATTTATAGTTTTAGAATTGGCCATGTAAAGGCTTTATTCAGTAGGTGCTTCTATTCAATTCTGTACTTCAAACAGCCTGTTATATAACGTGGCTTCCCCACTATAGAAACCTCTAGTTCACTTTTCTTCCTTATTCATCTGTCTTCTTTCTCTTTTTTATGTTAACAGGTGCCTTTGTGAATGGAATAGCTGAAGGAGAGATTGACCCTGAATTTAACAAAATTTCTGCCATTCGGTTGTTCATCCATAGTGACTCAGATGTCTGGGTACTTCTCAGTGAGGTAAGGGTGTTTACTGTACAAGATGTAAAAAAATGTTCAAAACCCACGTTGGGTCTTCGAGCCAGAAGATGCAGGACAAAATATTCTGAGATAAGTGTACTAATTTAAACCATTGCAATGTTCAGTGGATAAAGTACAGTATATCTTTTTTTAAAAATGTGAGTCTGCTGTGGAGTAATTTTCTGTTATGTATTCTCCTGAGTGTAAAAGCACATTCTATGTTTGAGTTTGAACTATACCAAGATTATATTGGGATTATATTATCCCAGAGAAACAGGGGTAGAGACAAGATGTATGGTAATCAAGAGACATGTATTGGAATTTTCAAGAAAATGGCTGCAGGAATAATTAAAAGCCCAGAGGCTGTGATTACACTGGGCCTGCGCTGGGTAGCTATCTCTAGTAGTGCTTTTAATATACTGTACCATTGTCGGTTTATTACTGGAAGTATTGTCTACAAATTCTTGCCAAGAAGGTAGACAGGTTTTTACACATGGTTGTCCATGATTTAAGTGAAAAATGAATGCAATAATTTCTCAATATCAGTTGCTTATACAACTTTAGCTGCAATATTGCAAGATGAGAAACATTTTCAAATTTTTGCGCTGGATAATTTTGCTCCCGCCAGTTATTACTGACTAATTCTGCCCAGTGTCATTTTCTTCTTGAAACCAGGAAGAGCTTGGAAAGCAGAAGGGAGGTCCATAAGATTTCCTTTTTTATAATAACGTGTTGACAAATGACTTGTGCATATTCAGATATTTCTTTGCAATGATGGTAATTAGGTATCACACTCTTAAAGAATTCATTGGTATAGTTCTGGAAACTATTTGGTTGAGTGAATTAAGTGACTTGACCTGTGTTTATTTGACAGATATGTATTAAAGTTTAACAATGAAAGGTGTGTGAACTGCTGGGGAACAAGCTAAGGATTCTTTAACGGTACCAGAATTCTGGAGCACCAGCAGCTGGTTTAAGGGCAACACCTAGTGGACGAAACGGGCAAAAGAGACTTCCATCTGCAGCTACATCGGCAAGAGAAGCTTGGTGTCTAAATGGGGAACAGCCACTGTTTCAACTTCACAAAAGCAGTGTTTAAAGGAAATTAAAAGTAACTACCTAGATATGACACATTTTTTATTGTGTTGTGTCCATTTAATTCCCATTATTTCTAAAGCCTACTAAACCATTGTCATTCAATAGATCTAATGTTATGCCCATAAAAATAAATCGATTTAAAGGGCTGAATATTTTTTTCCTTAAGACCATTAGCAACAGGGAAAATATTTTTTTTACAGTCAAAAATAGGGTAGAGAGAGCTCTGATATTTGCTGTAGGGATTATTTATTCTTGATATTATTAATGCAAATATTTGCAAGTATAGATTTATTTCTTTGTTCGGCAATCTTATTTTCAAGATAGTTGAACTGAAGATACAGGTGCCTCATTCACCTTCAAGTTAAACGTGATTTGAATCAATTTTTCAATTCTGAATCCAATTTGAAGCAAATGATTTTGTGATTTTCTTTTCAAGCAAGGTGTGAGGTAGTGAGATATGGCTTTGAGATGTTAATGGAGAAAAACCTATAGAATGAGGCACACCTGATCTGACTGAGTAGCTTGTATTCAAAGGAAGTATAACTCCTTTCCCATGTGAGGGTAAGAAGTTCTAATTAATGCAATCGGATCAGGTGAACTTCACGGTACAGTTTTTTTTATTAACATGAGAGTTTAGTCTTAGGTCAATAAGAGGAATGGATGCACATCCACATTTCCCTAAAAAAGCAACATACTGTACACACCACGGAAATAAAAACAGAAACATGTCAATGATGTGACATATACATTCTGGATAAAGATTTAGTTTACCAAACTTTAAAAGAAGAGCAAAAGGATGTGTTTTGTCTGACCTTCAGACTGGTTCTTGTTACTTTTTACAATAAAGACAAAGTTTAAAAAGAATGTATTGTCTGGTTTGTCTTTCCGGGTCCCATAGGTTAAAGTCTCATGGCTTTGTATGTTTTAGGTACCAGAGGCTAAATATGTTTTTCATTCTGTAATATTTAGTGTCATTGCATCCTCCTTTATACTGTACCTTAAACTTCTTAGTCAAACATTAGTTTCTTAGAGATAGATATCTACATACAGTGACAATCAAAAGTATTCACCCACCTTTTTCACATTTTATTGTGTTACTAAATGCAGTCATTATGTCTCTATTTAACTGGAGTTTTGTGCCAATCAATGGCAAAAAATATAATATCAAAGTGACAAGTGAAAAGGGAGGTGAATACTTTTGATAGCCACTGTAAATGCAATTATTAATTACAAAAGCAAAAGCAACAACACTCATTATAATTAAGCATTTAAAACAACTTCAGTAACTCTTAAAATGACTCTGAATTGTTTATTTAAATGAATCATTTGAATACTGAAAACAATATGAAAATTCATTTAAAGACTTTGCTTTACGCTTTGGTGCTCTGATGCTTCTGGCTTAAGTTTGTCTTAGCACGCTGATCATCTTCTGGACACTATAAGATTCCAGTGAACAGCAACATCATAATCACTTACCTGATGTTTACAATTCCTACCACCCAATATACTGTATACAATACAGTGCCTTGCAAAAGTATTCCGACCATTCCTGTGGTCTCCCATTTTGTGAAATTAAAAACAAAAAGATGAAAATGCATTATTTTCTTATTTTTTAGCTTATTTTATATAAAACCTGATCAAACACAAAACATCTGACAAAAGACAGAAAAAAATAAAGAGAAAAAAACTGGAATAGGTTGTTGGCATTTGTAGCTGGACCAGTGAACTCAAAAGACTGTGGAAGCACCCTTGACTGCAATTACAGCCACAAGTCTCTATACCATCTTTACACACTCGCTTGGTGCAATTTGTGCCCAATCTTCTAGGCAGATTTGCTCTCTCAGGTTGCTTGATGATCACTTTGCGATGGACGTTTTCGGGTCTTTCCACAGATTCTCAGTAGAATTCTAGTCAGAACTTTGACTGGACCACTCGATGACATCCACTTTCTTTGTCAATTACTCCACTGAATATTTTGGGTCATTCTCTTACTTAAAAGTGAATTTCCAACCCAGTCCAGTTTTACTCAAGCAGAATTTCCTATACCTTATACTGTAATAGTAATTATTATTCCATCCACTTATGTAGCGCTTTACAGGTAATGAGGACTCCCCTCCATCACCACCAATGTGCAGCATCCACTTGGATGATGTGACAGCAGCCATAGTCTGCCAGTACGCTCACCACACACCAGCTATCAGTGGGGAGGAGAACAGAGTGATGAAGCCAGTTCATATATGAGGATTATTAGGAGGGCATGATAGGTAAGGGCCAATGGGCAATTTGGCCCAGATGTTGGGGTGACACCCCTACTCTTTTCAAGAAATGCCCCTGGATTTTTAATGACCACAGAGAATCAGGACCTCAGTTTTACATCTCATCACTATACTGGGACATTAGGTCCCACACAGGCTGCAGGGTGAGCACCCTCTACTGGCCCCAATAACCTCTTCCAGCAGCTACCTTAGCTTTTCCCAGGAGGTCTCCCATTCAGGAAGCAGCCAGGCTCACGCCTGCTGAGCTTCAGTGGGTTGTCAGGTATGAGTTGCAGGGTGATATGGCTGCCGACTATTCTGTACATCGCTCCATCCATGTCCAGTCTGGACAAGCTCTTGCAGCTGCCCTATAACTGCTAGCCCCATGCTTAACAGAAGAGATTGTATTGAGTGTGTGGTGCGCTGTGTTGTTTGCAGTAGACCTAAAATTTTGCATTTAGACCAGAATGTTCCCGGTTTGTTTCAATTGACCAAATTTGGACGTCTGCAGCATCACCACAACTGCTTATGCTTTTCCGTAAATCCCATGCAGGTTAGGTGATTTTTCACCACCATCAATAACAGCTTCCTTATTGCCAGCTTTGCCTCGTGTACATTTTCTCCCATATTTGATCACTGTACTCCGCAGCTCTTTCAAAGTCACCAATGGCCTCACAGTAGCATCTCTAAACAGTTTTTTCTTGTTCAGTTTGAGGAACAGCCTGATCTAGGCAATGTCTTTGTAATGTGAGGCGCCTTCCACTTCTTAATGATCAGCTTCACCATGGTCAAAAAGAATATTTGTGTCTCTGATTTTTTATAACCTTCCATTGGTCTGTACATTTCTACAACTTTTACTACTCTACAACAAGCTATTTGGTCCTCATGATTGTATCTTTGATTGAAATTCATTACCTGACTGAAGAACCTTGTGTATTTATTCTGAAATCATGAGAGCCACTATTATTACAGAGAGTGAGGCCACTCAGCTAACTGTGTGGCTCATTAAGGCAACTTGCGTACCTAAATTAAATTAGACTGGCCAAAGGAAAGGGTTTGAATACTTTTGCAATCATGACTTTTTCCATTTTCTTCCATTTTAATTATTTCCTTTTGTTTTTGCTTTGAATGTGGGAAATAGGTTGTGAATATGAATTGCTACTTCGAAGTGTCATGATCATACACATTAAAGCAACAAAATGTGAACACTGCAAGGGCCTGAATACTTTTGCAAGTCACTATATAAGGCACATTATCTTCTGTGCTGAATTTATATTTTCACCTTCCCTCATGAATCCTTTCAGACAGCTACGTCCTAATAGCAATTCTTCATATACTATTATAGATGTGTTGTACTGTAACTAGGGATGAACCAAAATTTCATAATAATCTGAACTGAACCAGTTAAGACCCATTTACACTGCTGAGCCTTTCGCTGGAACCTCAGTAGAGTGGAGCCGTGTCCTCTATCTGAGGTCTGAGTCAAGAACGGAGTCTACTTCTTCCTCTCCCCTTTGAATTGTCCCTCAGTGTTGCTCTTCCAACCAGAAATAGATTCTTATTGTCATTTAACAAAGGTAATGCTAAGAGTATTTGACATGAAGCGCTGCGCCTATGAAAAAATACAGTATATGTTAATGTCTTTGACCTACGATTTGTAATGTAAAAACCTTCTTATATATTGGGCTGAACAAGATATGGAGTAAGAAAAAGACCGTTTGACCCTTTATTAATGGCTACTACAGATCTTAAACAGATTCTCCACTTTGGTTAATGGTTTCCATACACAGATTATTCTCAGTCTTGTGGCACCAATTTGTGACGTAACGTGCTCAGGCTGGCACAGCGCATGCGCCTTGCTTCCTCCCCGGGCAGCGAGCTGGAGAGGCGGGATTACAGAAATAGAGGGATTCGGGCTTTCTGGCGAGCACAGTGAAAAAAAAGAGTTTGTTTTGTTGTAAGAGGGGTAAGTATGTCTGAAATTTAATTCTCCTAAGTCCCTCCCACTGAAATTTCTGAATTAGCTTTTAAAGACACAGTCTTCATATTTTATGTGTGAGTAGCCTGGTTTGACTACACCACATATTTTGAATTGTGGCAGCCTAGCAGTTAATGTAATGTATGAAACCCGGTGCACAGGAGAGTTTGCTGGTTTTGTAGTTTTTCAGGGGTTTCCCTTTTTAACTTGACTAAAGCGCGAATTCAAAGACATGTGCGGCAGTTCTTTCTAGCAACAGATATCATAAGAGGAGAGGTACAGGTGTAAAAGATCTCATTCAAATAGCAAATGAGCGACCAAGAAGACAAATACTGAGTCACACTTAAAGTTTTCATTTATTCTAGCCGAAAATATTGTCTGGGTAGGTATGTGCAAATTAAAGATGTATCACTGTAATTGAGAGCCCATCATCGGGCTGGCTAATCCGTTATTCGTCCTCGGTCCCTAGGCGCATGCGCGCTCCCTTCCACGTAGACGCCTCCTTCTTTTGAGCCGCACACTTACTAGGGATCTTATGATATGCAGTCCGGAGAAACTGCCTCTAGAGCAAAAAAAAAAAAAACCCGAAGTTCGGAGAAGTTTCTGGTTACCCGATTTCGCCCACCTCAACCCAGAGCGTCACCAGTTTTGAGTTATGTCTGCGCCGCCGCTTCTGCCTCTGGTGCTGAAGCCCGGAGAGCGCCGGGCCGCTCTGAGCATGCGCGCTGTCACTGGCGTCGAGAAACCGGGAGAAGTGGGAGATCTTATTCGGAGCGGATCAAGCTGGAGAGGATCACCGGTCCCTCTCCCTCCGCCGAACCGTTCCCAGGTGCGCTGCGAAGACAGAAGAGACCGGTCTGTGGAGGAGGAGGAGGGGGGTGGCCGCTGTGCGAGTGTTTGACGCCGCTGAGGTTTGTAGCTGCTCGGTTCATTTTGCCTGCAGCACACACACACCTGCTCGCCGAGCCTGGCGTATTCATGTGGCGCTTGCCAGGACCAAATAAGGGGCAGTTCCATCACGATGCACCGCTAAAGGTATCCAATGAGCTAACCGATCCCGTTTAAATGGCCAGGGGATTAGGTATATACTGTTAACAATAACACAATACTCGTGTTGCAAAGATGCAGGTTGCTGTTAGACGGTGAAATTGCTGTTCTGCGAGCACTGCAAAGGAGTCCTCACGATCGTCCTAGAAAAGATGAGACTCGAGATGTCATTGTTTGTGAGAGGCAGTGCTTTACTCGGCGTGGCTGCAGAGAATGCGCAATGTTTATACTAGAATGTTCTCTCAAAGGGAGGCCTCCGTCTGTTGTGGTGCAGTTAGTTTGCTGTAGTGTCAATATTCCCCTATAGCAATCCCGCTGGAGTCCAGTGGTGCTTCGATCTGAGCTTTGTTGACGTCGGTGCATAAGGATACGAATCGGTCTTTTTGTGCTGACTAATTGTATAGCAGAGTTTCCGGCCCTTCGCTCTTATATCGCCTAACTCCGGCGTCTTGACACGACGAATGTGTGCAGGACATTTTTTGAAATGTATGTATCCTCTTCCTTTTAGGTGGTGATGTACAGTATGTGGGGAGGGAGTATTTGAACAAAGAGACTGTCTTTACACTGTACATACCGACTTTATTACCATGTAGCATGTATAACCATTCTTGTACTGTAATGACTGTACATGGTTAGAAAGGGATGAATCATGCGGTTACTTTGGAGTCTGTAAAGTGTCTTGTTAATAATAGAACAAAATAATCAATGTTTTTAAGGTTCAGACTTGTATCGACAGAGAACTGACAAAGGAATCGACAAAAGACCATTTTTTTGTAAGCCCTGAAACCATAATGTGATTAATTGAAGAATCCGCATAGAATTAGATTTGGAATATTATGTTGTGTTTAGTCACGACCCTCCAGTTGGATAATTGATCAGTGGGGCTAGGTTGAACAGGATGTGGATTTCCTAGACAGATCACTTTACTCTTTATCATGCTTATTAAGAGTGCAAGGCTACATGGTTTACAATACTGTGATGAGATGTATTTTAATGAGATTGTTTCACTGACCTTTCCTTGCCAAGATAGGGGCACACTAAGGTTGTTGCTCTTTGCACAACAATAATAATAATAATAATAATAATAATTGCTTACACGTATATAGCGCTTTTTCTGGACACTCCACTCAAAGCGCTTTACAGGTAATGGGGACTCCCATCCACCACCACCAATGTGCAGCATCTACCTGGATGATCCACCTGGATGACAATGTCACATATACAGTACAGATGGAACTTGATTTATTTAATTTGCGTAATGATGATGATTTTTCTTTTGTTTTGTAAATATTCAGTAATCTCCAATAATTTAAGTTTTGTTAAAAATGTTTCCATTTGTACTGATTGTTAATGTAAATATAGCTAAAATCATGTTTAAATCACCCAATCACTCCCCAGTCTTTTACTATTTCTGTGTGTTGCTTATTTGCCTTTTACTGTACATTGTGAAACACCGACAGTGTTTATTACTTTTCATAAATGTAGTAAGTTCCTAGTTACATACCATGCTTTATTTATTGCTCCTGGTACTTCTTCTTGAGAAGTTTTGACTGCCACTGATTCACTGCTCTGACTGCAGTGTCACAGCGCTGAATCTACCGACCTTTTCTGAGTGGTTTTACAGGCAGCAGATCACATACAGTAATTTCCCTTTATATATGATCAGTGGTATTTGTCGTCCTTCATTTTCCATTGGTGTACAGAATTGTCGTTAGCATGTTGTTTGTCTCATGGAAGGAACATCACATTGATGGCATAAACTAAAACGTTCAACTTTCACTAATAAATATATTAACCTATGCAGTCCCCAGACCTCTTTATTGGAGTGTTTTAATCAATTATTGGCTTTAAAAATATTCTAGTCCCATGAGTCATCCTGTTGTTTATTAAGGGTTATCTATCAAGCTTTAATGATATGAAGTGTGTTCAAATGTTTTTTGTGAATTGCTGAATTGGTTAAACTGTCAATATTCACAAGTTGTGTTTTTTTTTTTTCAATCACAATGTTTGTTTCAGTGTATTTGATGTTTTAATCCTGATCCTGATGTCTCAGAACATCATTCATTTTTTATGCTGGAGTGTTGTGTGTGGTGTCGGTGACTGTTTCTGATTCCTTTGTGTGTGTGTTCAGACAGTGAGGATGAAGCTCCGGTGGGGATGGACATGTCTGCTGCTGCTATCCCTGGCCACTGCTGCCTGGACACATGAGGAGGATCAGGACAGCACAGGAGATGCTCAGGTGGAAGACTCTGACGATGCAGATTCAGAGACTGAGGATCCCACTGCTAACACCAATGTCTCATTCCAGGTCTGCCAGTACCATACTTGCCCATATTCAAATGGGGATCTTTTCTAAAAAAAAATAGTGCGGCAACTTTTTTTTTCCAGTATGCCTGGACTTATTTGTAAAGCTATGTTGTGTGCCATAGATGATTAAACAGCAGAGGATTAAAACAGAAATATTTTTAAATGGTTAATGGTACCACAGTAGTGGCTTTCCCTCAAAATACTGGAAGTTTAACATTCGTATTACATTGTAGACGGATGTTTATAATTAGCCACATAAAGAATAATTTGCCTCTTATTACATTGCTATATATAAAACAAGCTGTATGCTTACTACTTAAACCTTGATTATTATGTCATACAGCATGTTTGCCTTTGTGAAAAGAACTAGGAAGTACAGTAATGAAACTCTAAGGTACATAGACAAAAAAATGGTAACACTGTATAAATCATTTATATTAACAGCCCTTCAGACAGGTATAGTCAATCTCCGGACCATCATAACAACATCAATAGAAATGTAATGTAAAGACTAAATAAAATGTTGTTAACATTTAAAAATAATTTCTAAGGCAACTAACCGTCACAGCCCCATTTCAGATTGATACTTCAGTGTCATGCCAAATTCAGTTCAAGCACAAAATAAGTCCCTATTATGAACACGTATAGAACATTATCTGAATTCATTGTCTGCCTTCATAATTTTTAGACACAAGCTTTTACTCTTGCTATTCAAAGCATTAAACCCAGTGTAACTCGATTCATATACTAAAAAGTTTAAAACTGCCAAGCTTCTATAAAACATAACTATCATATTTTCCTTTGGAAACTATAAAACATTGATGTTTTTAAATCCATTTAATCTTGATTTGTATCCGCTAACCTTGTTAATGCAAATAACTTAAAATAATTTTGCCACGATAATCATAATTTCATAATAAATCATAATTTCTGTGAAATCGTAGTTTAATTGAAATTTCCTAATATGTGGAATGTGTTTTTAACAGCGGTTTTTCATTTGTTGTTTTTCCTTGAATGCAACCTTTTGTGATATTTGCAGGTAACATACAAGACTCCTGTCCCTACAAAAGAGGCATATTTCACAGAAACATTTGATGAAGGCTTGTTAGCTGGGTATGTTTTGTTGCACACAAGAAACTCGAATTATGTCAATTATAAATGTACATTGTTGTGAGCAGTATTTATTTACTGTCTTCTTAACTCTCTAGGTGGGTGCAGTCCAAAACCACAAAAGACGGTGCAGATGATGACATTTCAAAATATGATGGTCAGCAGTGGTTTGACACTTTTATTTTATGGAGAGTTTTGAGCTAAATATTAATCTATGCCATTGTTAGTTTTGTTGGTATTTGAATTCCTACAATAACGTTTAAAATTATTCTCCCCAAATGAAAGTTTTAAGTTATTAAAACCATTCATTTGAAACAGATAAAAAGTTATTTTTGCTTTTATTTGAGAAATACAGTATATATGCAAGATATAGGTTTTGCAGTGCTTTGATACGATCGTTGTTAATCTTTTTATAGCTGTGTCTTTACAGGTGATGGTATCAGATTGTACCTCTCATTTGTTCTAAATAATACTATAACTTAAAATAATAAAACTGGTAAAGAGACGATTCCTGTTCGCTAATGTGAGTT